AAAATATTTAATTAAATTAAACGAAATGATTACAGTGATTATAGTAAACATAGGAATGAAGAGTAACGATATGTTTCTTGATTGCTATAAAATTTTAAAAAATTCCCATAAATTTTCAGTTTTTATTTATTTAAGCCGGACACGCTCGATTATTTAAGTACAGCCAATGAATTAGGGAAATTGGCTTATGAAATTAATGATGTTCCCATCACAGTTAATCTTTTGCAAAAAAGGAATGAATCGACTGCGGTATTAGATTTTCTGGTTTTTTAATAAATGAAAATTTGATAAAAATTTGTGGTACAATAGCCATCATGATTTTAGCATTTTTTTCTTTTTTGTTTTCCTAATTTAAATAATAAATTGTGGAAATTATTGGTGCTAATTACCATAATGGTGACTGCTGTATGCTTTAATCTTCAGCAAACATCATTTTTCTTTGGTTAATTCAATTATTTTTGAGACTTTTTCGACATAGTCACTAGTAAATTGTGATAAATCTATTTTTATAAATCTATTTTTTTTCTGGAATTCAAAATTTTATTCTAAGAAAATTGTAGGTTTTAAGTGATCCACGTCAAAGAAAGTCTGTTCCTTCAGTTGAAAAATGTGAAGTTGAGGAAGAAATTAAAGCTCCAAATTTGAATAATCAGTTAGAAGGTTAGTGATCCATCGCTTTTTCAGAAGTCTTTTCTTGTAAAAATTGTATTGATTTAAGTATATCCTTAAGTCTTATCATTAATAGGACTAATATGACATTAAGATTCGACAGTTTTTTTAAAATTATTGTTGCCTGGAAAATTTTGTATTTTAGAAATTGAAACTGATTATGGAGCGGAATCATTTTTTGATGGACTAAGTTCAATCATCGATGATTACAATGCTACGGATGATTAATTCTGATAATTTTTTTTTTTGCTCTTTTTTCTTCATTCTTCTATACTCTCTTCATTTTCTGTTTGAAACCATTTTTTTTTCATTACCCAGCTGTAATTTGTCATTACATAATTTAAATTAATACAAATCCATTCGTCATTGTAACAAAACAAAGTTTTCACATGTCTCATTTCTAGCAAAAATTTTAGCAAAAATATGGAAAAAAATTTCCTCCGATTCTTAAAACATTCATTAAATCCCTCAGGCTTGTGAAAATATGTTATATTCTAATTTTGATTTCCATTCTTTTACAATTTTATTAATATTTATTTTAATTATGATATTGAACTAACAAATTTTTCAAATTTTTCAGATTACAAATTTTTCGAAATATTTTGCGAAGATAATAATTCCCAATTTGCGATTATTTTTGTATCAGATTCGTGTATTTTAGAAGGGCATTAATTAATTTCTGATTATATTATCTGTTCTCGTCATTAGTTTTATAGATAACACATATAAAACTAGATATTATTAAATATCAGATATAGGAAATTATAGGAAATAATAAAAAATTTTGTCTGAAACTTTGTTTTTTTATAATATATGATTAAATTTTATTGTGTAAAATATATAATTATGAAATATTTTTATTTGAGATGATGATAAATATATATTTCTCTTTGAAATTCTTGTTTTTTTTTTTTCTTTTTGCTAAGAAACCGATAAGTTATCGCTAAATTTATTTTATTTAATCGAATCGAAGGTATTAAATGAATTATTGAGTAATTTTAATAATTTGTTATTTGGAAATATTTTTGAAGAGTGTTCACTAATGCTGGTTGATTCGCTTTAGCGAATTGTCAGGATTAGATAAATATACCAGCGAATTCCTTGCAGATAGAAAAATAGGTGAGTCGCCAACACCAGGGATGAGGGGGAAAAGTTCGGATAGGTTTAGTGCTGTGGAGAGTAGAATCTTAGTGTCGGTACTTCGAGTCGGGTAAGAATCTACTGAGCTATTTATTCTCTATTCGATTCTCAATTATAGCAACTATCACTTTTATCACTCTTTGAAGATATTGAAATTACTTTAATGCTTTATAAATAAATATATGAATTTAGTATAACTATTAAAACGAATTTGTCTTTAATCAGTCGATTTATCGAAGTTTATAATCAGCACCATTAGCCTCGCTTCGTTTTGCATTAAAATCTATGAACTCGACTTCGAAATCCGATCTTGAATATTTGCTATCGATATTGCGTCGGATTAACGATAAAACGGTTTATTCTTTTTTTTGGTTGAATATTTTATTTTGGTTTTTTTTAGAAGAATTTTTATTAATTATTAGCTTTTTATTAAATTAAATTAAATTTAATAAATTAAGTTTTGATAAAAAAATCTTTGTAACTCTTAAAATTTTTTCCAGCACCCGATTTATATAGCAAAACCGGGCAGTGCTGTGTTTTTTAAATCAACTGTGGAGCAAATTCGATCAGAAACTCAAGGTTTTTCACATTGCATTTTTGATAAGTTTTTCGTTTTTTAATTATGAAGTAATTTTTCATCATTTGTAAACACTTATTTTATCTATAATTTACTACTGTTTTACTATTCTGATTTCTCTAGAATGAGGTTGGTTCTTTCGCTAAGGTGTCGCTTGGAAATAAAGATGAGACACAGATCTTCAATAATCACTAATAATGATAAAATTTAAATCTTAAGAGATAGATAGAAATCAAAGCCATGCTGCTATGTTTTCTTTCTCTTTCTCTTTTAATAACCGTCACCATTATCGATTAGGTCGGCTCCTCTGGCTACAAGGATAAGACGTTTCCAAGATGCTCGATCTGATACCATAGCTGGTAGTAATAGAAGCCATTCTTTTTTCCATCATCTAAATCCATTATTGCCGTCCCCTATACGTTCAAAATCTTTCCTGATCGTATCAGTGCAGGTCTTGATTGGCCCACCTCATTTTTGACGCCATTCAACATAGGATTTAACAAGTAACGAAATGTGTCAATTCTTGTGTCAATTGGCGACAAATAACGTGCCCTAACCAGCAAAGATGTTCTGCTATGGTGCTGTTAATATTGCAGTATTTGAGCGAAGGTGGATGCAGTCATGCTAGATTTTATCTTCCATGCCTGGCGAACCAGTGAAATCGCGAAGTGAATCTGGATTTAGAGTGTTTTTTGTTAATCCTTTCCAGATCATTCCTGAAGTAATTTTACTTTTATGCTGACCGTTAGAATGATAATGATTCATTTTGTTGAAAAATGGATGCTATCCTTATTGAATGACAATTTCTTAATTTTTGAATGATGTGGTGACTGGTTGGTTAGTTGGCTGGGTGGTTAATTGGCGTGATTTCATAAAATTTTTCAAGAATTTCGAGAAAAAAATAGTGCATGTGGGTTGTATGATTCTGTTGGTCTTTTCCTCTATTATTAGATCGTTTTCATCGCTCAGTGCCACACGTCGTTGTACGTAAAATTTGGTCATCCAGATTATCCAGAAAAATTGAAATTACCTACTACTTCTGCAATGAAAAGATATTAAGGCAAAAAGATATTAGGCGAGTAAAGCGATAGATATATGAATATTCTAGCGAACATACCATAATAGGAATATATGTTATCATACACTAGACATAAACTAGACATTAAGGTCCGAATGACCTCGTATATATATATATATATTTGATAAACCAGCAATATGGATTTTATTTCTGCTCTTTGTTGGGAGTGAGTCTGTTAATAAAAGTAAAGTTGGACTGACTGCCTCCATTCTCAAATGATGTTGCTAACAAATTTCATTGTCGAAGAACTAGGAAAGACAGAAAAGGCAGATCTTTTCATTATTTAAGATAGCCAATTTCAAAGTGGCTAAGATATTTTTTTGTCCTATTCGATATTTTCGTATTTTCCAATATTTCGCTTTCTATTCTTTCAATATTCTATTCTATTTCAGTATTTTCTATTTTTTCATTATTCTTTTCCTATAATTTCCATTAGTTTTATTTCTTTCCTCATTATTTTTATTCATCTATTGATTGTAATTGTATACTTTATCTGGCTTATTCGTTTCTAACTATTAATTTTTTGCTATTTTCTTGGCATGGCATAGATTTTTCAATTATGATTTTTTTTTAGAGAGCATTTGCTTTCATTTGAATAGCAAATCCATTCGCAATTCGCAATTTTCTGAATTTCTTTATTTTTAAAATAAATCGGAAAATTTTTATTTAAATAATTATTCTAAATATTATATTTTAATTTCATCTGCATTAGCTGAAAGGAAATGCAATTTTAAAAATAAAAATGAATTGTATAATTTTTTTTTAAAAATTCAGATATATTTGATTTTCGATTTAAGATATTTTTGAACTGGTTTTTTTCTTCAAAAAAGTTTATGATTTCATGATTTTGCATATTATTTTATATTTTTCAGTTGCGTTAAATTCGATCATTGATCAAAAAGGAAGAAACGAAAAAGGCAAAAAGCAGTAAAATTGTTCATCCCTTTTAAACAAGGTTTTGTTCACTGATAATAATACCTCTTCGATTATTTGTAATTTGTAATAATTCGTTGCGTTGATATTTGCTATGTTCAAAAAAGTTGTCCATATGTTATCCATATCCTCCAAGATTTTTTATGGTTCTTCAGTTCTTGGCCCTTCGGTTCCTGTCATTCCATATTCTTTTCGTAAAACCATCTCCTTAAACTTTCTTCTACATTATTCATGTTCACTCCATCGAGTCTCCAAATAGATTTTCTAAGGGGGTCAAAAATTGCTCAATTATTGGTTGTTAATTCATATTTTTAGATTTCTAATATATAAGATATAAGGTCTTCCGAGCAAAAAATTTTTTGAATTTTTTTGCAGTTGTATTCGTAGGATTTCAACTATGATCGTAGGATTACGCATAGGTGCGAAATGTTGCGTAATTAGAACGAAAGCATTTGAATAAATCGATTTGGCCGAAGAATTTTACCATACGATTATTTTTGCATTATTTTTGCACTAATATATATTGCTTGTATAGAATTCACCTGCTTAATAATTTTTTTTGCAGTAAGTTATTCATTTTTTATTGCAGTTTAATCTAAACACATGGTGATACGCGCAAAAAATGCCACATTGGTGGTGCTTGGCGATATTGGTCGTAGTCCGCGAATGTGTTATCATGCCAAATCATTGGCTGATAAAAATTATCGAGTTCAAATCGTCGGTTATTTCGATACACAACCACATCCTCAAATAAGTGAACATCCAAATATACGGTTATTGACTTAATATTTTTGGGCGATTAATTTCTTCATTGATCGCATAAACCTATTTTTGTATAAATTTATTTCTACAGACTACAAATTATATGTTCAATTGCTACAACTAAGAAACAATTAAACATTTTTAAAAACTGAACATTTAAGCATTTTTACCATGTGGTTTATTGAAATATTTCCATTTGAACATAATTATTCGATTTAAGAGAATTAATAATTTTGCAATTATCTTTTAGTTTTATCGATTTTTAAGAATTTTAGTATCGTTCCACTGCGAAATCCTCCAAGTTTTATCAATAATTTGGGACAAATTTTATCGCTTATTCTTAAATTTTTGTGGACAACAATTATGCTTCTATCCGCTTTAATTTTTCGCGTTGACTGGCCATTATTAATTTTAATGCAGAATCCACCAGGCGTTCCTTCAATGTTGGTTTGCTGGCTGGTTAGTTATTAATTTTGGCATTTTATGAATATAATATCACGCCAATTATTTATAAAGTTATTTACAGCATCAGGTTTGTGGATGAGTTTTATTTAGATTTGGGATTTTGGGATCTTTAAGGAACTCCCAAAAGCTAAATCATCAAAGGAATTTAACATTTTAATGGGGGATTAAAATTATAGGTAGAAAATATAAAGAGATTTAACTGCTCATGAAAGATAATGGAATGGGATTTTTCAGTCATTCATTCATTATCTTATCTCTATATGTTGTTTTTAGAGCGCTCGTTTGAAGCGAGCTCAGTTTATCATCGATTGGCATAACTACACTTATACAGTTTTACGAGAAAAGTATGGAATCGAAGAGTTGCGCGTGGAACGTTTTATTGATAATGCTTCGAACGTTTCAAGAGCATCGGATGAAATATCTCTAAGTAATTTCATTAGAATATTATAATATTATTTCATTAGAATAATATAATGGAATTGTGGAAATGATTTTAGGGAAAATTTCCTTGAATAAGCGATTAATTTTTATTAAAATTTCAGAATCGAATCAAGGCGAAATACGCGGACGCCGTATGACAAAAGTAGAACGTGCTGTTCAAGTTGCGGCTGCCGTTGCCCATAAAAAGAAAAAGAATGTGGAAAAACGTAAAAAGATCTCTCTACTTCAAAGGTTATTAAAAGGTTTCAATGTAATAATTCGCTTAAATTGAGATAAGTCATATGGCGTTTGATTTTTTATTTTAAAGAATTTAGATATTTTGAATTATGAATGTGTGAAATTTCAGTTTATCACATGTGAAGCTTTATTCGTTCTTTCATCAAAAGCACTTGGAAAAAAATGAAGATTTGTAGAAATTTGCAGTTATAGAAATGGCTTAATATCAAATTAAATTATAGAGACTCTGAAAATTACTTTTCATATATTTAAAAATGTTATTTTAAAAATATTTTCATCACCATTCTCGCAGATGAAAATTCTATTAGAAATTTGAAATTTTTGAAATTTATAATTTTTTTTTTTGTGTACTGGAATTTGTTTTTTTGTGTACTTTTTTGTGTGTGTGTATTTATGTACTGAGTTTTTATTAAATTTGGCCTGATTTGGGCTGATTATTAGTTATTTCTGTTTATTTTTGCCAAAGAATTTGTTTAGATTCGTTGAGCGTGTTTATTATTGGGAAGGATATTTTGGTCGTCGAGCCGACCTAAACCTTTGTGTAACACACGCTATGCGACAAGATATGTGTTATGCGTGGGATATACATTCTGCAACATTATATGATCGACCACCTTCATGGAGTTTTCATAAACTTAATAAAGAGGAATATCATCAGTTCTTTTTAAATCTCAGCCAGTCTAATTTCGACGATTTTAAATCATTTATTGGAGATCCTAAAGCTAATGAAATTAACGAATCATGTTGTGAGGGTATATTTTTTTTATATTGCATATTTTTGTTAAATTTTCTACAGCAAATTTTGAATGAATTTTAGTGAATAGATTCTCATATCGAGATGCAAGTGGTGAAATTTGCCTGCGAAATGATCGTCCATTTCTCATGATATCGTCCACAAGTTGGACTGAAGACGAAGATTTTTCACTTCTTTTGGATGCTTTACGTGAATATGATAGTATCGCAAGGCTTTCAACTAAATCGTAAAACTTATCAAATTTTTTTTTGTTTTAATTTCAGGCATTTATTTCTATTTTCTAATAAAAATTTAGCGGTTTTTTTAAAATGTAGTCTTTATATTTTCATTTTAATAAAGGTTGTAAAAGAAACGTCATATAGTAGTGAAAGAAAAAAGAACTGAGAGGATATTTTATGGAAATAAAGGATAATTTAAAGAATATTTGGCGAAATAAAAATGATTTAAATGATTTTAAAGAATATTTGGCGAAATAAAAATGGTTTAAATGATTTAAAGGTATATAAAACATTTAAGGAATAAGAAATAATAAATGGGAGAGATTATTATTATCGTTATTACTTTCTTTTTTAGTAATCCTCAAACTTGTCTGCCGCATATTTTGTGCGTAATTACTGGCAGAGGTCCACTGAAATCACATTATGTTAGTCGAATTGAATATCTACAAATGCAGCATATCGAAATCATTACTCCATGGTTTGAAGCCGATGATTATCCTCGTATTTTGGGATGTGCTGATATTGGTGTGTCTCTTCATATTTCCACATCGGGTATGTTTGAGATTTTTGTTCTTGAATAGATTTAATGCGGTTCAAAAAAAGAATTTGTTCGGTTCAATATTCAATTAAAGTAAAGTAGTTCATTGTTGCAGGACTCGATTTACCAATGAAAGTGGTGGATATGTTTGGAAGTGGTTTACCAGTTATCGCTAAGCGTTTCCCATGCATTACCGAATTAGTTTCAGATGGTCGTAATGGCCGCCTATTTGATAATTCCCATGAACTGTTCCAAATTATTAAGTCGCTTGCATGTGGATTTCCACTGCATTGCTTGGTTAGTTATTTAGAAATTAAAAATCATTTCATTTCTTATTGTGAATATCATCTTCATTTTTTCAGCAGTTAAACACGCTACAAAATGATGTTGAAAATTACAGCTTTATTTCATGGGAGGAAAATTGGGACGCATGTGTTTGGCCATTAATCGCCAATTATGGTGCGCCACCTGCGGATGAAGTTGCTCGTCGACAAAGGTATTGCCTTTCTGGTTGAAGGCGGGAGGGAGAAAGAATCAAAAATAAATGATATCAGTTTTATTATCCAAGTAAATACATAAACGTGATTCATGATTCTGCATTTAAGTGTTCGTTTTCTTTAATAGCGCATATTATTGCTTAAATTAGTTGAGAGATGAAGTATTTTCAAGTTTTGCATTTTAGGTGCTATAGAAAACTCTTATTTTTCTCTCTGAAAATGCATCATTTCCGCTCTCAGATATAGTTCATCTATTGTGGATTTTTTATTTATATTCTCATTTGTTTAGATATTCCGTTACGAGCATAAGTCGTGATAAGAAAGCACAAGAAACTGATTCAGACGATATTAGTTCAGAAAAAGATGCATATACCGAGAATAATCTTTTATCGGATAATCGGAATCGCTATCAAAGTAATAAGAAGTGGGATGATGGAAGTTCATCAAAAGATGATTTAAACAATCATGAAGATTTTTCTGAAAGTTTCAGTGCAGATGGTTCATTCAATAGTGTTAATGCCAATATTAATTAGGTTATTTTATTTATTATTTATTCTTATTTTTTCTTTTTCCCAGTATTATTTATTTGCTACTTTAATTATCGCGATTCAAATAAAACAAAGTTCAAGTTTTAGCAAGGAAACCTACTTTAATTAATGTTTTCATAAGTAATTCATAAGTAAAAATGATTTTGTCGTATTTTGTCGAATTATTAAAAGAATTCGTAATTAATCGTAATTAATACGAGTCGAAAAATAATTTTTTGAAAATAATTTTAAATGTGAATTAAACGAGTCATTTTATTCTACTAGAAGAGACAAAATTCTACGGCAAACTCGCACAATTAAGCTTTATTTATTTATTTATTTCCTTTGGGTATTTTGTTTTTTGGGTATTTTTTTATTTTGTGAAAATGTTTCGATCTTCTTTCTTTTTTTCCTATTTATTTATTTGCACTTTTCTATTTTTTAATTTTTCTACTGTTATTTATATTTAAAATTAATTTATTTCCAAATTTTTTGTTCAAATTTTCAATTTATTCAGATTTTTTATGGAAAATCTGCTGAATAAATATTTGTCACTATGTTCTTTTCTGGATTCCACCTTCAACTTTTTGTTCTTTTTGTTCCTTTTGCGAACAATGGTTCGGAAAATTAGGTCCTAGGAATTAGTTTCTGAAATATGGTAGTGTTCCATGTTATTTAGCGATGGCAAGGATAGTGGACGTGAAACTATTCGTTCTTGCGATAAAATTCGTTCATTATGTCTCGATTAAAGTTGAATTATTGTGACTGCAAAGTTAGTGCGATGTACAAAATTAAAAATGCTTAATCATTCTTCATTTTACAAAAATATAAAATATTATTCAAAAAATTTAAAACAAATTTTGGTAATTTGCAAAGAAAAATTATATAATAAATAATAAAATTTGATAAAATTAAATGCAAAAAATTGAAAATAATTATAATGAAATGCATTTCAGAAATACGTTGCATGTGAATTGTTAAGTGAAATAAAAAAATTGATAAAATTATAATTTTTGTTGGAATTTTTGAAAAAAACGATTCGTTATTAGCGTTTTCTATTGTTAAATTATTATATTTTTCGTTGTTTGCGATATTTGAATTGTCGTCGTTTTCATCGAAAAGAAAATTTCTAAAATAAATAAATATTATTATTTAATAATATTAATAATATTAATATTATTAAATAAATAAATCTTATTATTAGTTATTGATTAAATGGCCGATAATAAATAATTGTAAATCTGCAAAAATTTGCCGCAAAATCTTAAATTTCTAATAATAGAAAAGGAAAGAGGAGATAAATGCTATGCATCGCCATAATTGGTTTAGCATTAGAAATTGGAGGGTGAGGCTTGAATGCAGAGCAAAATGTTCTTCGTTGTCAGCCACGTACGTCGCACATCTCGCTAAAAATGTGTGATGGATGACGCCAAAGCGTAAAGGCTGCAGGCTGCCAATCAAGAACAATCTGGACTGACATTCGGGGGAAATTTTGTCCATGAGCGGCTTAAGGATTTATATGCTCAGACGATAGAAAAAGGAATGGCTAGTAGAATCAGATCGAAGTACTTGGGAATTTTAACTCTAATCGCTAGTGAAGCAGATCAGTAATGGTACTACCTGGGACATTCATGTATAAATATTTTGCGCGCAAATAAACTCATGAAAAATAGCTTTTTTTTTTAAACTGAAATAACCACAAATCCACCTATAATTGCATAATTTGTAAATTGTACTGTGGCAAGAAAAACTTGAGGGACGCTTGGAAAAGGGTTTCCTTCATCGCTGTAGTTAAACGAGCCACAGGAATGGTGCTTTAGTTTAGTTTGCCTTTTCATGTAGGGCAAATCAAATCCATAAAATATATAATCGATCGTTTTTTGCATTTGAATGTAAAAATGTTGCAGTTTTATTTCGGAAATGAAAAAAAAATTCTATTTATAATTTATATTTCTATTATAATACTATTTTATTTAATAAATATTATTAAAATTTAAAAATATTTAATTAAAAATCAAAAACTGACTTAATAATATAATAAATTAGCGTCGAATAGATTAAATAAAGCATTGGTTGCTTATACGGTGGTAATAACGAATTCATTTTTTGAAGTTTTCCTTCTTCATTTTCCAGCCCAATTTTATTTATAAAATTTTTTTGAATCTACAAATCAGAATAAAATTAGTTAATTAAAATTAATTAATAATGAACAATAACAATAATAGTAATAATAATAAATAATAATAATTTATAATAATAAAAAATAATAATTCGTAATTAATCTAATATTTAATTAAATTTCTAAAATTTAATAAAATTTAAATATAAAATTTAGTTTTAATCTAAATAATTTAAAATTTTATTCAATTGAACTGAATTGAATTCAGAAGGTTCATTTCGTCATTTACGATGGAAATTACTTAAATTCTGAAAATTTTGTGATTTTTTTTACTGTGTTTAAAGAAAGAACAAAAGAATCGCCCTCATTGTTTTTAAAAATTTCAAACGCTAAAATTACAATCAGCAAAATGATTTTTGTTTGATTTCATTTATTATTCAGCTTCAAAATTTATTAAAGAAGTTTCATAAATTTATTTTAAAAAAGTAGAAAAAGTCTTACATTTTGAATATGGTTGATATTATCGGGATGAAAGACAATGGATGATAATAGAAAAATAGTGGCGGAAGAAGTGATAATTCTAACTGATAAACTGATATAGAGAGGTAAATTCGAACGAGCAGTCAACCAGCTCAAAATTCTCGGAGTACTATTCAGTAGTATTTGCATATTCTGAAATAATTCTGAAATAAACAACAATGAGGAAATTTCCAATATGCGATTCGTCTAGATGGGACAAAAGACGATACCGTAGTCCGCTGATCTTATTTTCCAAATTTACACTTTTGTTGATCCGCTTGTGCTTCAAAATGCCAGTATAGCCAGTGAAGCCTCTACGATGTTCGTAGGCAGCGGCTAACTAGATGTGCGGCTAAGCTTATCACCAATGAGGAAGGAAAAAATTTTTTTTATCGACGAAATTAACTTAGAAAAAAATTTTTTTTTTTAAAAATTTATGAACAGTAGTTTCGATTAGCTATTATATTATCAATATTATCAATCATTATCATCGATATTATCAATATCAACAATTATGTTATCAATAATTTTGCATTTTGACTGGTTTCCTTTTTTTTAAATATTTTTTCTAATTCTTCTCTTTATTATTGATTCTTTATTATCTTTATTATTGATATCGTTATCTCCTTATTCTGAGTTATTTTATAAAATTACATTTTACGATATTCTTAGCCGCAGTTGGTTGTTTTCTAATCATAATACAATGTATAACTTGTAATAGCTTCGTTCATTATTTATATAAATTATAGTTAATTTAATTTGATCAATGAGATGATAATTGACAATAATTAAAATTATATAAATAGGTAAATTCTTGAAAATATGAAACAATTTAAATAAGGCGATAAACAATAGTTAAGAACATTCGACGGTTTATGGCAGATGAACAAGGCAAGAATCGTTTATCAATGATGAATTCGCCCTTGACCTAGAGAAATCATTCATTCATCTAATCCGAACTAAATATTGCCATCGCACAAAAATCCACTTGGCGCATTTTTTTCCATTGAAGTCACCAAAATGCACAATAACTACGAAATGCTTAATGAATGTAAAGAAAAATTCAACAAATCCCCAAATTTGATCATCGTTAAACAAGGAATTGGAAATTTTCTATTTCTATATTATATTAATAAAGTACGATATTCCGTGAAAATTTGCATCTTCCAGACCGATCAACAATATAAATTCAGACTTCCACATCCCATTTCTTCAAGCAAGCGTCCCACTTATTATTGTTTGATTGGTTCCATTATTATAGTCCTCTTTGGCCCGGAATGCCACACTGAGATTGATCCACGCTTCGATCTCAAATAAGACCCAAATTTTCCTCTTTAATAACTGATTTATCCTAGCGAAAAAAAGAATCCAACTCGCGCGACCCTGCACCACCGTGTCCAATCTCAAACCAAATTTAAGTTGCGTATTTGCATATGCAATGAAATTAAAAAAAAATTCAACATTGGATATTTTCGAATTTATTACATACAATATACACGCGAACATTACAAATGAGAATAAATAGGATCGATTAGAAAGGCAATAATATGCGAATAAAAGCAATAAGTTCAGCAAAAATCCTCGCACCATCGCCTTCCACTCATCGTTTTTGATAAAATTTACTTTCATCGATAAAATAAATAGTTGACAAAAGAAAAAAACGAAATAAATTTAGTACGCGAAACATTCTCGAAAAAAATTCTAGCAACCCGGATAAAGATCATCGTATAATGAGGAAAACTAAGGCTTGTAGAATTATTAGAACACAAGAAAAATGATTTTAACCTGTAAAAGGTGAAAACACATCTATTTGGTTAATCGAAAATAACCAAAGCAAATAACAAAGCAAGCAATATATTTTATATAATATTGAAAGCCAAAAAGAAAAGGACGCAAACACTGAATCGAAAGACATGCAATCAAATCCCAAAATTAAAGAATAAAAAGACAAAAATAAAACAAAAACAGTAGAAAAAATGGAGTCAATGAAAAAATAAAATAAAAAACCACAGACATAACAAAAAAAAACACGAAACATAAAGAATAAATTAAACAGTTGTACAAGCTGAAAAGATAAACTGAAATAATCAGAAAACCACCATTCCTTCTTATCAATAAAAATATTGGATTACATAATATCAAATGTTTTCTTCAATTCCACAATAAGTTGCCAATCGTTTAAAGATAAATCATTACGAAAATGGTTTTTGCAAACGTCAATTGTTTCGCGAGTAATCTGGAAAAATTTTATAAAAATCTGATGAACGAAAAATGAATCGGAATTTGCTACAGTTTTTTTTCCACAAGATTCAGCAAATAAATATAATTAAATCTGAAATTTCGCCAACGGTAGAACTTCAATTAGTAGAACTTACTTTACTCACAAGAATATCTGTATGGTCAAAATGCCTGCCGTACAATCTCGGCGCATCACCCGTAGTATTTTCGATCTTGATGCAAACTTCTTCTCCTTTCTTTGCAAGCTCAACTTGTTCGTGATTACGTTCTATACTTGCAACTGTTCCAAGTTGAATACACTGTAAATGTATTCAATGATGCATATATGCATATAAATGGTTTAAATATTCGACATAAAATACATGTGAATGTTAACGGACAATGGCCTAATGGATATGAAAAATTTAAATATGAATTTTTCGAAAAAAATCACATCTTTGGAAGGCACACATAGCGGTGTCCCACGTTTCAATTGACCTGCTTCTATACTAACACCAATAACAATAGGATTTCTGGCATTGAATATATGTTGCGGCAAAATACGAAGCTTACACGGAAATATAGCCAAATGTTCATTTTCACGCCGATATTTTAACCGCAGTTCTTCCCTAGAAGTTTTAGAATAACAGAAAAATGAGGAGAGTTATTGAAAAAAAAAATGAAAATGAAATATGAAAAAAAATAAGGAAAAAAAAGAAAGCAAAAAGAAAAGAAAAAGAAATATTTCAAAAATCTTCGATAATATAAAAAATAAAAATATTACCGATATTTTAAAAAGTTGTCTTCAAGATGATAAATAATGTCCGCAGTAAAAATATGAACGCCTTCATTAGCTGCGAATTGTTCGACTTCGCGGTCAACACGAACATCAAATGCCAGAATGCATGCATATTCTTCTTTTCGTTCTAACATAGCTGCTGCTTTTTGAACATCTTTTTTGTGAACAGGGCCAATATTTACATTCGAATATGGTATCTTTTGAGTCTAAATCCATGCCAACAATAAAGATTGAAGTTTTTCCAAGTTAGGAAGGTTTTTTATCTACTAGTAACTACTATCTATGTTTTTCGTCTTTAAACTTCTTCACATTTTCTCTTTATCAGAATTTTTAAGTGCACTTATTTAATTATTTAATACTTATTTAATACTTATAAAAACTTATTTAATTATTTATTAATTATTTATTGATTATTTAATTATTTAATAATCAATTTTAATTCTAAAAGTTCAATTTTTCGAACTTCAAAAAACTATCAACACGATTTTATATCATATTTCTGTTTACAAATTTTTTTGAATAAAAAAGAATGGATTACCCTTAAAAAGTCCAGCAATGCTTCCAAAGACCCAAGCGTGCTAGCCTGTACATAAACACCTTCTGGCTTTTTCTTAATTGCCATTAACGCATTAGCAAGCTGCGCCTCAGCATCTTCCCTGAATTCAAATAGTGAAAATTAGTGATATATAAATGAATAAATGAAAAAATGAAAAAGAAAGAGATGCCGACCAAACCACATTTTTACAAAGATAAACATCAATCACTTCAAAACATCTATTTCATCCTCCTTATGAGCAATAAATAGTGGTAAACCAGCCACAGCTTTTTCGAGACCTTTCGCCATAATTTTAACTCCTTGAGCGCCTTGAATTGATTGGAAATGTTCATAAGCGGTCTGGAAAAATATATACTTCTCATTATTTTATAAAAAATAAGATTTAAGATTTTTCAATAGAATTAAAAATAGTAATAAGAAATGAAAAATTCGCACGCTTACCTTTACTCTAATTTCCTTCAAAGGCTGAGGCATTAAAAGTTCACGAATTTGAGTTATAATTGCACCATCAGTACCAGTTAGGACGATAATATCACCAACTGTTAATTTTCCATTCACCAGTATTACATCAATTGTCGTTCCCAAACCCGGTATCGATTTTACCTTAAAAAGGTAATCTCAAAAAAACCAACAAAAAACAACTACTGAAAAGTTAATTAATCCTTCAAGATTAATTGAAGCATGATTTTTTAAATTTTTGAGCGAATCTAATTTTAAAAATCATGAAAGATAGATTACTTCCATAACAAAGCATTCTAATTCGTCACTGAATGATAGTTGTGAAGCAAGCCTTGTTTCTGAATCGTTTACTATATAAGCCATAAGATTACCAATGCCATCACCTAAATATGCTGAGGTAGGTACCATGCTAACATATTCGGAACGATCTGGATTTTCAGGAGCCAACGCCACATTTATTCCCTATGAATAGGAATTTTTAAACAGCAATAATTTAAAAACAGTGGTAATAACGCTACATTAGGAATAATAAACATTTAGGGAATAAATAAAGAAAAATGTTGAATTTATATAATGAATTTATAAAAAAATTTTTGTGAAAAAACGATGAAAAATATGAAACTATTCAATCCAACTCAATAAAATAACCTGTTCTGCAAACTGGACGATAACTTTTTCTTTCAATTCTTTGAAATGCAATTGAGTATTAATTGGTTGAGATTTTAGATGCTGATAAACATCTTTACGAGGATTCGATGCATACTCATAGAGACGATCAATCTGAATAATCGTAAAGTATAATGGATTCATCAATTGTCTGAACCGATAAGCTAAATATCGTAGATAAGAAACACCTCCTTTTTTCCATTTATTTCCTCTTTTCTTCTCGCTTATTCTTTAACTGGGTTTTCTCTTATCACTATCCTATTTATTTGATAACCAATACATCTCCATACTCTTCTTCACCATTATACTATTTGCTCACCAACTCTATATAAAGGATCCTATATTCACCAATTCATATTATTTATCAACAGCTTATACTTATTTAGTCGTCTATGATCTCCTTTCAATTCCCCATCCCTTCCCGCGACCATACCTTTATTTAAAAAATGGGTACTGTTTATGGAAACAGATTCTACAGTATAAATTTCCAAAAAAAATTTAAAAAAAGGATCTAAAGGATCAAGATAATATAAATTACATTCAGCAATTAAAAATTATTTTAACAACGCTACAAACCTTATTAAGAGCTATTACAAAAGGTGTTCGTCTTTTTAACAATAATTTCAAAGATTCAAGCGTTTGCTGTTCGATTCCATGCATTATGTCAACAACAAGAATGGCATAATCGCAAAGAGATGAACCACGAGCTCGAAGATTGCTGAAGTGACAGATGGGAAATGAAAAAATAAAAATTAAAAATCGAAAATTAGTAAATCGAAGAAACTGAATAAAAACAAACATTAAACATATAAAACATTGAAAATAACTTACGAAAAACTTTCATGACCAGGAGTATCAATGACCAAAAATCCAGGAATTTTAATATTTTCAGCGTTAAACTAAAAATAAAAAACGATAGAAAATATAAAGAAATCATCATCTATATTTTATGTGTTATAAGAAAATAATTTTAACCATAAAACGTCCATGTGAGAAATAACTGGAGTGTGTCAATCAATATTTCGAATTATAAAACAATAGAAAATTTTTATTTATTTATTTATTTACTTACATCTCGAACCAACTTAACCCGTTCCTTTATTGCTGCAGCTGGAATCTGAGTAGCGCCAATTTGTTGAGTAATACCACCAGCTTCACCATCTTGTACGTTTGTCCTACGAATCTAAATATTGAAATCACTTATGGTAGAAATTAAAATGAATTGTTGAAATCAAAAAAAATCGAAATTTAAATACTAATTTTACAATTATATTTTAAGACATTTTCGGAAAATTAATTGTTTACCGTATCAAGCATCTTTGTTTTCCCTGTATCAACATGACCAAGAACACAAATAACTGGGGCACGAAGTTTATCTATTGAACGTTTGGCTTCAGCCAATTCGCGCCTTCTCTAAAAGTTTGAGTTAAATAAACTGACTCAGGTGAAGATATTACCGCAGAATTACCTAATTTACTTAGTTTATTATAATTAAATATTTTATCATAAAAAAAACCCAAAATGCACTTTCGAAATTAAATAAAAATATAAAAAATCTATAAATAGATAATTTTTTAAAATAACTTCCAGACCTTGAAACGAGCTCGAACTCTTTCTTGCACCTGGTCTTTTGATTCACGATTGCTGCGTTCTTCTTCTGACGACTCTTCATCTTCCTCTTCTGATGAATCCTCTGAAGATTCATCGTCTTGATCAACTGCTTCCTAAAAAGTTGTTAAATGAATATAATAGCTATAACTAAATAATATGAAATTTAGAAAAAAATCTGCAAAAAACCTGATCCAGTAGCGCTTGTGTTTCCGAGATTTTTGATAGATTTGAGGAAGAGATACCATCGTCCTTATTCGCTTTTATTTCTAACAAATCATCTGACACCTTATTTTTTTCCGTTATTGCTTCATTAACGATTTCTTCGTCATCCACTAAATCCCAAGATTCCGGAATATCATCATCAAGTTTCGCATCTTTCACTTCCTTTTCTTCGACTTCTTTCTCTAATTTTGAATCTTCTATTGAAATTTCTCGTGATGGAAGGACTGATACTTCTTCAACATCTGAATCTCGATATAGTAAAGAAAAATAAAGCAAATAACAGTTCCACAAAAAAGAATATAATATTAAATTGGAGCATTAAAATCAAGATCAAAATTATTTTTAATACTTTTTTTTAAATACCTTTATATAAATACCTTTCATTAACGGCTTTTTTGGTTTCTTCTTTGCATATACAGGCCGTTTTGTAGGCGCTAAATCATTTCCACCTTGTCTAAATGCTGCAGGCAATATTATATCTGAAAAATTTATAGCCTTTAAAAAAATCTTGTTCTTAACATTCTACCAGATTTTTCCATTTTTGGAATCTTTTCTATTAATTTTACTAGTTACAGTGAATACAAACGAATTTACTTTCGTTATTGAGCAAAGCTTGTTGTCGTCTCAACTTTTCTTTTTGTGCAGGTGTTAAATATTTGCCTTCAGCCTTCAATCGCTCATCACGTTCCTTCTTCCTCTGTTTCTCACGTTCCTTCTTTTCACGTGCCAAACGATCCTTCAAATCCAATGCAAATCTTAATTTGAGATAAATTTTTGAATTTTCCAAAAAAACGAGAAAAATTTTTACCGCTTCCTCTTTAGCTTTTTGAATCGCAGCTAATCGCTCCTCTTCTTCTCTTTGCTGTTGCAATAATCGTTCTTCAGCTTCTTGTCTTTCCCGTAACAATTGCTTGATCAAATCAACCTAAAAGAATCGCTTTTATTACTTGAGATTATAAGAAATTTATTTTAAAACGCCATTTTTTCTGTATTTATTTCAAAAATACAAATTCTAAGAATTAGATCTACAATTCTAAGATAAAAGATTGAACAATAAAAGAGAAAGGAACTTCGACTGCTATCTCAAATAAACAAAAAATTATAAAAATATTTGTAGCGAAATAAAGAGCGATATTTCTATGACAAGAAATACTGCACACGCATTTCGCACTTTTTATTGCGAGCGATCAAATGACCAAGTAACAGAAATATTACTCGACCCAGTATATATATGTACATATATATATATTTTTTACTCGCATGTTTCAATTGAAAATCAAAGCTTTCTACGAATAAAAATAACAGAATATATCAGATTATTGTCATGAACATACATGTCTTCTCTTTTTAGTTTCCTTTTTATCACTTTCTTTTACTTTCTTTTCCTTTTCTTTTTTCTTTTTCTTAGCCTTTTTTTTATCTGAAGCATCATCGGCTAAATCTTCAGCATCTTCCGGAGTCTGGAAATTAATCAGCTTATGAAGATGAAAAAATGCATTAAATATAAAAGAATAACCTACAATCTACCAACCTTTTCAGCAATATAATTTTCCACAGTATGCAAACTGGACCCTGGCTCGATCAACTTTTCTTTAAGCACTTCCTCAGGTATACGCTCTTCTGACGTTTCCTTTCCGAAATTTTCCGTGACGAATTCTTTGCCTCCATCTTCTTCTCTTTTTGTCTTTTCATCTGCGTCTTTTTTCTTCCTTTTTTTGTCCTTTTTCTTTGATATATTCTGATTATCAGTTTCAATAACAGCATTATCAACAACCAAATCTAATCAAATAGAAAATTACAATAATGAAAATACATAAAACACGACTAGTTAAAAAAACCCGCCTTAAAGGATAGTGGAACTATTTCTGAACTCTAGCATATCACTCGATATTCCCTAAAAGATTGTATTCTCCAAAATTCCCTTTATACTATATACTATAGTATTTTCCAATTCACCAATCACTTGTAATTCTCCTTCAATGCCTTTCAATTTCTGGTATACAACCAATTTACTACCATTTGTAATTTTTTATTATTTTGGAGATAGAATGTCACAGTGGGTTGTTGCTCAATTGGGAGCGCCGATGCTGAGGTTCGATTCCCCGCAGGAGTAAACCTGTAAAAAAGTCCAGGTGATGCTGGCGACTCATCTGTATTCACCAAAGGACTCCCTGGCTTATTGTCCAATGTGACAAGCCAGTGGAGCGAATCTAACCAACAATGGTGAGGACTCTTTAAAAAAAAACTTTTTATTATTTAATTACGACCACAGCAAAATTGCACTATACAGATAATGGGATTTTAAGAGAAATAGGTAGCGAGTGCTTTAAATAGATCTGAGGGAATTAAAGTGGTACAAAGAGATTTAAGATTATCGGATTACTAATGAATTATGGCAAAATTACACAGCAGATTATGAAGATGATCAGAACGGAGTGGCCTTTAAAGAGGAGAGGGAAAATTTTTCGCAAATATGACAGATTTTATGGAATATCAAAGGACTTCCCCACTTCAAGTGCAACAGAAAGATAAAAGGAAGCTAAAAAAAAAACACAAATATGGGAATAAATTAAGAGGAAGTTTAAGAAGTTACCATAAAGTTCTAATAAAAGAAGGTATTTAATATTGTCAAATATTAAGACAGATTTGGAGATATGGAGCGATATATAGAGGAATATAAAAAATTCTGATGAATGTTGTTGTAAAAAAAATCTACCGCAGCAAGTTTATCTTTCTTATCCTTAAGGCAATAAAATGGTTTAAGAAGGCTCATGATAAAATTATTAACGAGAAATAGCAAAAGAATGCAGTTTGCAATTTCAAGGGAACATAATAAAATCCAGAGGAATTTCCTATGGAAGTTAGTGAAGTTAGAGAGATGATTATTTGGATTTATGAGGGTATTACAGGCGCACAGAGGAAAAAGATGATGTCGGTTGAATATAGTTTTGAAAAAAATAACTGGAAAGCAGGAAACTAGAAGGCAAGTAAAAGAGATAACAGAATAAAAGAGATTGCGAAGAAGTTCCATAGAATTTGGAAGATTCAATTAAATAATAAAATAGATATAATGAACTTAAAAGATTGTAAATATAAAAATACCTGCAGTATCACTTATTTCATGACTATCTGTAGTTTTATCGGTGTTACGCTCCACCGTTTCTTTATTTTGTTCTAAAGTTTTGCCAGCCAATTCATCAGTGGTCATAACTTTTGCACCTTTTTTTTTAATTTTTCCCGTAGTTTTCTCCATAGGTTTTTCCAAATCTGCCAATATTGCATCTAATTCTTCATCTTCTTTCGTAATCTATATGTTAGTAACAAATAAATCTTACAAAATATTCAAAAAACTAAATAATAACAAGAACAATTAATACTTTTTTTCTTTGAGTCTTATATAATACTTAAATGAATAAAATAATTAAATTTGTATTAATATATTAAATGTATCAAAAATATATAATATAAAACAAAAAAAATAAAAGGAATAAAAATAATAATAACTGTCCAAATTATCGATATAAATGAAAAATGATAATTATCTGGAATTAAAATTTACTTTTTTTCCTTTCTTTCCCTTACTTTTACCAGTTTCTTTCGATTTTAAATCAGCAGGTTTTTTATTTTCATTTCCTTCATTTTTTTTAACTTCTTTTTTTTGCGCAGTTTTATTTTTCAAATCAAAATCATTTTCATTAGAATGTGAACTATCGTCATCCGATTTCTCATCTTCTGATCTTAACTGAAAAAAGTAAAACTTCTCTTTTTAATGATTTTTGATATTTTTTCAAACAAATAACGCAGCTGATGAAAAAAAATCTACCGCAGCAAGTTTATCAAAAATAGTCGCCGCACGAGGCTTTCGTGTTAGCACTGAAGATTCATCATCATCACTTGCTTCATCTGGTTGTGTAATGCGAATGGCTTGTAACTTTTTTTCATCTTCGTCGCGATCATTCCTTAATTATTAATCATTAATTATTATTATATTTTCCAATAAGAAACTAATAAAACAGAATGAAAAAATAAAAATTCATCATAAATTAAATTTCAGCTTTTTTGTTTCAACGTAAATACCCATGCAATTTCATGATCACCAGTCTCCGTCTCATAGCTCCGTCTTATCGAATGTTTAATTATTAGATGGCGATATGCAGCAAACAATGTAGATTGGTGCTAGTATATAGTAACTATAGAGGAGGTATAAAGCAGAGTTAACCATTTCTAACTATTTCAAGTTAGACTCATTCCACTCGCTTATTAAAGGACCATTCAATAATAATAGTAATATTAACCATTATCACCGAACCGAACGATTTATTGATAACTGATAATTGATAATTGATAAATGCTCAATGAAGCAAATAAACAAAAAAAATCAACAAACAAACCAATCATTGTGTTTCTTTTTTTCATTTTTCTTCTTTTTCGATGCCATTATTTATAAAATTTCGCTGTAAAATAAAATAAAAATCTTATAAAATTCAAAAAAAATTTTTAAAGAGAAAGAAAAAAATGAAAAACGATTAAACTAAATATAATAAAAATAAAATAAAATTATTTAAGTGGGAAAAAACATTTGAAAAAAATAATTTTAATTTCAAAAATATTCACAAAAATACAAAATTTTTTATAAAAAAAAGTTAGAAATTCCAAAAAAAAATAATCCAAAGAAAAAAATTATTAAATCATTAAATAGAAAAACCCGAACTAAAACCTAAAACCCAAATTTATTGGCCAATTTGACCCAAACAAACATTAACGAACGATTTAAAGCGATTACTACAACTCGGCCGAGCTTTATCGATCGTGTGTCTAGCTCGGTACTTATAAAAATCGGTTCCGCACTTAGAATTGCACAAGGTTTACGGTATCGTTGGTTTTTTGTAGTTCCATCAATTTCTATTAAATCTGTACGAATGGGAGAAATTTCAGTGGTGAGATAAGATGAAAGTTTTGAATTAAAACGGTGAAAAGGAAAGGATTGTGCAGGATTAATAGCTTCTGGCAGTTTGGACAACTATTTAGCCAAGAAATTTTTGGGTTTCCTTAAAAATCCTCACCATTAATGGTTAAACTAGACCTGCTGGCCATTGGATAAAAATGCCAGGGAGTCCCTTGGCGATGGAAGTATAGGTGAGTCGCCAGCACCACTCAGATTTTTTAAAGATAGGTTCACTCCTGCGGGAATCGAACCTCAGCATTGGCGCTCCGAATTGAACAACTATCCACTAAGCTATCTCATCCCATCTCCTAAATTATTAAAGAGTATTTGTAAAAAATACCAGAATAGTTTAATGTAAGGCAGCCAAATTACTAAAAATATTTAGTCAAATTCATTCGAATTTTTAGAATCAAATCATTTAATCAATCATTTTACAAATATTTAAATAAACAACTTAATAAACTGATAAACTGATAAAAATGATAAAAATGACAATAATATATATTGGTATATTAAACAGAAATATTGTAATAATAGATAAGTAGAATTTGTTTTTTTTCCAGTAATCCTCACCATTATTGGTCAAATAACATTTGATTTAGTCGACAAAATTTTCTTGAAGACCTTATCTGTTGTTATCATTGCTCGTAAAGCGAAAAGCAACACTCTTCCATATAAAACGCCTTTATATACCTTGCGAAAAATTGTTAGCCCCTAAATCTTAAACCTTAAACTAAACCTTCAATCTGCTTCTCGTTAAGCTCATCGAAATCCATTTTTGGTGCCATTTTCGATGAGTTTATATGAAACATTTTCGGCTTAGGTTTTCTATCTGATAACGATAGTTCAATTTTCAATCCAATCTGATCCTTATCAATAGAAGATCGAACGCGTCTAATCGATTTATTGCTAATATTATCTGAAATTTTAAGGTACATAAAATCTTTGAATTGATAGAATTTAAGTTATTTTATGGCCTATGCCTAGAACTAGTTCTTGGTTTAATTCTAAGTCTTGGCCAAAAACTTGGCCAACAAAATCATTGGCCTATGCCTAGGAAAACCATTATTGCAAACTCGAATTTATTTTCACATATTGAAGTACTGCAAAATTTCATAGTTTTATATTTTACTATTGGGCAATAAAAGGTGAAATCAAAATTGTCATAATGATAATTGCGGATTTGAAGGACCGTATAATCTCGGTTATTGGTCCCCAGCACGAATAAATATGTCATTAAAAGTGTAATTTAGTAGGGGATCCGCCTGAAATTTTCTCTCCAAATGGTGCTTTAGTGTGAAAATTTTCAATATTTCAATGGTTATTCGTAGAGTTAATAATAGTTATTTAAATTAGTAGAAAAAGTCTTAGAGGCAAATTTTAAACTCAATTGTGTCTTAATTTGATTTTGGGAGTCAATCACAAGTATAGTTCAAATCTCACTCTGAACAATCTCATTTTTCAGAATTTCATAATTTCTTGCTAGGAATATTGCTTGGTTTAAGTCTTGGCCAAAAACTTGGCCATGGCCAAATCCTTGGCCAACAAAATCATTGGCCTATGCCTAGGAAAACCATTATTGCAAACTCGAATTTATTTTCACATAAATTAAAATAAATGAATATAGATACGATCATCTAATCACGGATATCACTAATATCACCAAAGCTATCAATCTGATATAATAATATGTAAATACGAATAATGTTCGTCGGAATTCACTTCCACTACTTGCTATTGATAACAGCTTTTGCTGATAATGTTTTACCTGAAATCATTTAATATAATTTTATTACACCTGATTTCACTTGATTTTGACTAAACTTATTCATGATCCATCAAATAATAATACATCTTTTGATGCAATAGTTCTCCTATTCTTTGCAATACTCAAGATATATTAGTACTATTTCTACAGCTTCTTTGATTTCTTCGATCGCTGAGTCCATCCAGGGCCACCAAAGTCCTAAAATATCTGCTTTTACAAAATTATTGCGTGTCTATCCACGCTATAATAAGCCTCTGAAATTTTTCAGATATTAATGCCGATAGAGGTGGGAAACGATAAGGCTAAGTACTATATTACTTATATCATTGTTTTAATAGTCCTAATATGATCCATATTAGAAAAAGTTACCAGCGATGCTTGGTATTCTCATATATTTTTATATCCATGTGACTCGTCTTGACAAACGAAACTCCTAATAACGAGAGTATATTTACGAAGTGATGTCATCATTAATTCCAGGATTATAATAAAATGGTAGAAAAAAAATATAGCACAACGTTAATGAAGAAAAAGATTTTAAAAAAGCGATTATTTAATGTTTTAATTCGACGAGGTAATGAAATGAATATTTTTTTTTTACATATTAAGCAAGCAAGCAAGAAAAATCAGTTTTATTCTGGAAGTTCCACGTATTTTTTAAAATTATAGCGGTTTTTTTTGAGTACTCATCCTTACTGGTTGGACTTACTCGGCTAGTATGTGTGCTAAATTTAAAATTCCAAATTTTTTTAAATGAATTTTTTGTAAAATTTAAACTCGAAAATCTCAGGAAAAACTATTTTTTAAGATTTACTACTACTATTTTTATTGAATTATTATCATTTTATTTTTAAAACTTTATTGCTGCATTAATTGCTCCTCGAAGATTCTTAAAGCAAAGCATTTCTTTTCATATTCCTTTATTGAGCTTTTTTTTTCTTAGTAATCTTTGTTTTAAAAATATTTCTTCCAAAAATTAAATAATTTTTTATTCAATATTTTTCAATAATTTCAAATAAATAAATTAATAAATTAATAAATAAATAATAAATTAATTTAAATAAATAAATTAATAAATAAATAAATTAATTAAATCAAATAAATCAATTTAGTGTAACTTTTTTTTTCATGAGAATTTACTGAAAAAAAAAGAATATCAAAATTTTAATTTTTTATCAAATAGTCACGAATAAAAAAGCAGTTGGCGCACTAGCACTTTGTATGGCTATTTAATTCGAACGTGGTGACCGCATAAGGTGCAAACTTGAAATGATAAATGATTTTTACGTGTAGATATATAATAAATACTTTTACCAGTGGTGACTGGAATAAAGCTGCGGTAATTTTTTTTTTGAAGGCTCTGACACCATATCAGAAGTAAACTGTACCTAAGCCCTTATATGGCCTGATCGCCTGCTTATGAGTTCAACAATCTCCCATAAATCAAGGCTTGGAAGGTTCCAAATATTGCCACATTGCCGAAAGGTATTCTTAAAAATTTATAAGATTTTTAAAAATTTTTAATTTAATTAGAAAATAAATTAATTTTCAATAAAAAATCTATAAAAATTTATTGAAATTAGAAGTCGTGAAAAATCTTCGAAATTTTTCTCTATAAAAGATTTAGTCGTTTGAAATTGCCGTTCAATAATTGCCATTAAATAATAAATTATTCTCGGATATGCGAATTCTTCGAAATCCTTCTGAATTGTAAAACGAGAAAAATGGAAATGAATCTTTTAAAAAATTATTGTTTCCATAGCTTCTCAAATGTATTTGCTCAAAGGAAACTCTAATTTGATCTACTTGGTGGCTTTTTCTTATAGAATGATTTGAAAATGAGAGCATTTTTTTTGCCAAATACAATGCCAAAATAATAATATAAATAATATAATAATAATATAATATAATAATATAAATGAATTCATGAATTTTGTGAGGTTTGCGGTCTACTTACCAATTTTGGAAAATTGTGAAAATATTTCGTTTCAGTCGAATTTAGGTGATTTCTACTAAGATCAGAGCTCTCTCCGTATGGACGTGTGGAAGAGTCCTCAGCATTATGCACCATCAAGGAACAAGGAACGAACCTATTCGTCTTCTTCAACTCTCAAAGTCAAAATAATATTTGACTCAAATTCTGTAGGCAAATTTCTGTAATGCAATGAAACGATAAAGAAATATATCTTCTTAAAGATTTATTGAAATTTATTGGTTAGTTTAAATGATTGATTATAAAAGATATTTTATCAGTGACAGAATTATCAATCCTCATTTTTGGTTTCCTTTGGTTGCATCTACTTTTGAACTTTTATTACTCTCTTTCTTCATCCTAAAATTAAAAATTTTAAAATAAATGGAAATAAGTAAATTTCATAAGAAATTAGTTTAAGTTTCAGAGTATATTTTTAAAAATTTGAAGAGTTTTGTCGCAAATTAAAGGAGTAAATTGGAGAAAACTTTTGATTTCAATGCAAAAATTCCGCTGACCGCTTCCTTAGATTTTCCATCTTCGTCCTCTTTTTTTCCTTCTACTTTTTTTTCATCCTTTTTATTACCTTCAGTGCTTGACATTTCCTTTTTTGAATTCATGACTTGTTTTTTCGAATCAGTTTTTTGTTCTGACTAAAAGAAAATAAATCAATTAATCAGTTAAGTTAATCTGACCGAAAAAAAATTAAAATTAAAGGTTAAAAGTTCCCTGCTTTTTTTTAAATAAATAATATTCTTCATTTATTTTCCTTTTAAGGCTTTTTTCCAAGATTTTTATATTGGTATAACAATTTTTATATTTATATTTTTATATCGGTTTTTATTTTTATTTTTTATGAATGCTATAGGAAATTTTTAGCTAGCATATCCTCTAATATCTATTATTATTATTTATCATTATTATTTTTATTGCCATTTTTACATTTTTATGTTAATATTAATTGTTATTTATTGTCATTACTATTATTATTATTATTATTTATTATTATTATTATTATTATTATTATTATTATTATTATTATTATTATTATTATTATTATTATTATTATTAGCACTTATTAATATTATTGTTATTTTGAGAATTTTAGACCATAATTTTAGAGAATGAAAAATGGATTCTTACCATTCCTTCAGATTTTCCTTCTTTTTTCCCTTCTTTTTCATCTCCTTTTTTGCCAGTTTTAGCGCTCGAAGCTTTTTTTTTTGAATCGGCAATCTTCTGTTTTTTGGAATCAGTTACAACTTTTTCTGACTGAAAAAAAATTGACGCTTCATACATTTATTAGATGAATTTGATATATTTTATGCGAGGCCTTTTTCCAAATTATTATATCGGATATGATTCTAAAAGTAAATTTTTAAAGCCGATATAAGTAAATTGATCCATTTTAAAACCTTTTTACAACAGTAAAGTAAGTTAGTTTGCATGATGAAATGTAGAAAAATTTTGATCTTTCCTAATATATTCTTTCAGTTTATTATTGCTATCACCATTTAATATTTATCATTTTTTTACTAATATTATCATTTTATATGTTTTATATTTTATTATTTACTATCATTATTATCACTAATATCATTGCTATCATTGTATTACTACTGTTATTTATTATTATATCATTATTATTATCACTATTATTATTGTTATTATTATCATACTCAAGCTTAATCAAGCGCATGACTCTTTTTATCATTATTAATATTATTATTTTATGCATTTTATATTATTTCATTTATATTATACTCAAATGTATGATTATTGCTTCTGCTTTTAAGAACCCTTCCCATATTTTTGTTTCATTTATTTACTTCTTTTTTGTTTTTCGGTTTTGTATCTTCTTTTTTTTTCTTATCGTTGTCTGTTTTGCTTTCCTTTTTCTCTGTCTCGAGGGGTTGTGTATCTTGTTCAGCAAGAATTATTGCAGCTGGTGGTTTTGTTTGCTGCCTCACCCTATAAAGATTTTTCTCAAATTTCATAAACCTTTCTTTCTGATATAAAGATAATTTAAAATATTGTTATTTTTTTAAAGGTTATAGCAAAACCATGACAATTTAGGTCCATAGGTAGTGATAAGCGGATTACTATAATCTACATTCATTAAAAAGAAATCTTGTGAAGGAGTCCATTTCACTGATCCATGAAATCCGTAGGATTCCTAACCAAAACTCCTATGGACCAATAGATAATTAATTAAAATGAAGTTGGACCTTTTCCTCAAGCACTGTGCGAAGACAATGAACGGAAATGAAACCAAAATAGCGATTGTCACTAATAATTGAATAATTTTATGAAACATTGCGCTTCGTTCTCAAATTCAATGAAATTTTCACAGTAATTGAAATTAGTTTACGAAGAAAAGAAATGAAGAAATTAATTTTAAACAACCACTCGACTTTTTAAAATTTTTTAAAAATAAAAAATTTCGTAAGGAAATTTTAATTTTAATTTAAATAATTAAAATTGAATATAAAATTCAATTAAGGAAGTAAAATAATTTGCATCAAAAAATTTGTTTAAAATTCAAATATTTTTATTGAAATTAATTTTATTTTTAATAATACTATAATTAAATGAAAGGAATTATTATAATTTTGCGACATTTTCAATTTTCTCGAAATATTTCACCATTTCAATTATACAAATTCAAAGTGGAATGGCTTTAATTATTTTCAGATAAAGGATTAAATCCACGGAAAACATGAAATCCACGCAAGCAATGAATTGAAAATCCAAACGAAATATCGTTTTACATGAATAAAAATTTTATGATTCTCTTATTTTAGTAAAGGAATTTATCATTTTCTGAGTTGGACCCACTAATTACCAAGATTAGATCCATCGGTTATTGGGATTAGTTACCGGATCCTGGTGGTGCAAAATCCTATACGATAAATGCGACTGAATGTACCTGGAATATATCACTTTCTTAGAATATAATGAGTCTTATTAAATTCATATAATATCTAATCATTTCCCTCAGCTCGTCCGGGAAAATTAAATTCTCCAGCCACAGGGCCACGTGAGGACAGCTTAGCTGCATTCCTATGTACGGATAAGAATCAAAATTATGCTGCCCAGTAATTAATATTGCAATTTTATCTATATTTATTTAAATTTTTCGATTTCTAAGATATTAATTTGCTTAATTTGAGTTATATAAAAAATATATTGGATGAATTATAATGATTTGCTACAAACTCGATTTCATCGCAAATTAATTCGATATTTAAGATAATATTCGATGAATTAAACGAGAAAATTTGCATCGATCTAAAATTTTCATCCTAATTTTTCGTTTTTTTCTTTTTTTTGCAAAAATGGTAATTATCCAAATAAATAAATAAATAAATAAATTTGCGAAAGAAAAGATTAACTAAAATTTTTTTAAAAAATGGTTTAAAAATAATTTTTTTATACTAAAAATTTATTCGTCATTTTTTAATTGAAAATAGTCTTTTGCAGAATTGTATTTTTCTTTTGCGTAATAAATAATGAGAATTTTAATAAAAGAATAATAATAAACAGAAAAAAAAGACGATGAAATATATCATAATTATCAGTTGAATTAGCTAAAAATAAAATATCGTTGCGAGGAAAGCTTTCGGCAAATTAATTATTATTATTGTGTCTTGAAAATAAAGTGATTTCGAAGAAATATTTTTTGAAGAATTCAAAGAATTTTTTCAATTATAACTGCTTTTTTCATTTAATTGGGTTATGTACTTTAAGAATTCTTAAAAGTGATTCATTTCATAGTGATCGCTTATCAGTAATCAGTAAAGTTCTTTAGTTCTTTAGACTTTAAATTGCTTCTTAGTGCTATTACGGTATATAATTAATGGTATAGCTTCTTAATAATGGTAGAAATTCAGCTGAACCTTTCAAATGATTCGAAAGAATGTAACTACACAACTGAAATTGGTGATTTGGTGAATTGGTGATTCATAAGAAATGGAATTGTTCAGAAGTTGGCGATAATAATTCATGATAACAAAGGAATAGCAATGTATTTATTGATTAGATTAACCATAGCGACAATATATCATAAAAGAATTATTTCTTAAATACTTCTGTTTCTCTTCAATGATATCAGTTAAGAATATGATAAAGTGTTTTATGCGATAGTCAAAAGTTTTGAAGTTAATGATAATATTTTTTTCAGCTTAGTTTATTTTATTTTATTGTTTTGTTTTCGTTTCTCAAATTATAAAGCTATAAATATAATGAAAGGTATTCTGCCGTATATGGCACTGCCTGAAAAAATTCATATTGACAAAGATACGATTCGTAGTAAGCAGCATGAACTGGCCTAGTGATAAGAGTTATAAAGAGTCGTAGTTAAGGACAAAAAAAGTAAAATCTCGGGCAATGTTTGGAATCTACCACTTCGCCTGGCTAAAGGATCTCAAAAAGGCTTAGTAATCGACAAAGTGGAACCAAAAACATTATTTCCTATTACAAGAGAAATCATTCGGAGATAAGAGCTTTAATCAAATTTTTTTATCATTTCGCAAATGATAATTTATTAAAATAATTACTTGAAATCTGAGGAATTTCCCATACGATTGGTCTTTTGTTATTCATCAAAACAACGATGCAAAATTTTTATAAGATATTTAAATAAAATTAAAATATAAAATATAATTAATAAAATACAATTTAAATTGATAAAAAATATTACAGAATTTTGGCGTTCCAAAAAATTATTCAAAGAAATGATTCTTCTATTTTTACAAAATTAAGCTGAATTTGATGAAAAATTCTATGAAATTTTTCCAAAATGCGATCATTCGGCAATTACAGGAAAGACAACTTCACCGGCTGCAACACCTGCTTTGAATGGTGCTATAGGATCACTCTCTTCATCCGGGACCTCAGCCCACTGAATTACAAATTTATCTTCTTTAGGTGGACCTTCTAGACGAATTATGGTCAAATCGGTATTTTGCTTGGCTTCAATAAAACCATATACTGGATTTACTCGATAGTGATCGTTGTTCGATGTTTTTACCTGTGAATATTATTCATCGAAAAATTTTCATGATATCTACTGGAAAAAAAATTTTAATGCAATAATAATCTCATCAAAATTTTTGGATCATTTAATTTGCATCATGAAATATGCAAATGGATTTGTGGAGCCAGCTGCACCTCAATCCTAAAGCTAAATAATTCTCCTAGTGGAAATATATTGAAATCTACTGATATCTACTAATATTCTCTTAAGATGTGGACCTCTAGCCTACAAGTATTAAGTAGTTAACTAGGTTAACTAATATAATGTCGGGATGCACTTGTGGTACTATTTTTCATCAACTATTTTTGATTTATTCCATTATTATTTATTCCATTTTTCTTATGACATTAATGGTTTATTACTATAGATTTAATGCATTTCCTGGTTATTAATGGATTTTTTAATGAACTAAAATATCGCAATATAATATTAATAATAACCTTAAAAGCAAGCCGAGTATCAATTTGATTGAGAATCTTAAATACCAATGTACCTCCGGACGCAGGAAATGCACCATTCGGTGGATCCACGTTAAGCGCCATCGTTTTTTTCTTTTTATAAATACATATAAAAATGAAAAAAATTTTTTCGACCGCTAATAAATTAAAATTTGATTTTTTAAGTATTTTTTTAAAACAAATTAGCATAAAATATAAATTAAAAAAAATTCTTCTAATAACAAAATTATTAAAAATTTATTTTAATAAAAATAAAAATTTTATTAAATTCATCGCTAAAAACAATTTGCAGTAATTTTTATAATTATATATCTCGAATATATGTAATAAATTAATAATTCATTTAAATAAATGTATAAGCATTCATCTCAATTCTTCTCATTGGTTGTTATGGGAATGAAATATTTTTGATTCATTTGAGAAGAGAAATACGGATGAGCGTCCGGAATCGGATTTTCCCAAACTTATTTTCAGGATAAAAGCCTAATTATTATGTTTGAAATGATAGTTCTAAACAATACACATTCGACCGACTAACAAGTCTATTTAAATAAAGAAAATTTCAATTGTTTTTTTCGTGCAAAAATCGACAATTTATGAAAAGAATTTTATATAATTTTGTGTATTTTACGTAAAATATAATAGAATGTTACACCTTAAACCGGAAGAATTATTAAAATTACTGCTATCCGGTGCTTATCGATTGTTTATATGAAAATCCTTTCTCCAAAACATAAATTTTTGCAATTTTTAGGAAGATTGCTAATGGATTCCTTTTTTTTTTATTACATAATGTAATAATAAATATAATAAATAGCAACAATAAATAATATATAACAATAGACTTTTTTTACGCGCAATCTCTCGTGAAACTCGGCAATAAAAAATAATCAGAATAATCGGTGACAAATCTGGTGAAATCAAATTATTATTAATCGTTTGAGTAGTTTTTTTTTAAAATATGATTAGAGAAATAATAAAATAATAAAATGATAAATAATAAATAATAAATAAAAATAATAATTTAATAATTTTGATGAAATAATATTTTTATTAATTTTTTAACTGAAAAAATATTCATTTAATATTTTAAAATATTTTTATATGGAACTTTAGCCTAATATTTTTAAAAATTCTGCTTTTTTTACATAAAAATTTCCAATTATCACAAATTGTTCGCCCTCTAAACAGCACATATCGCTTTTTGGCTTGGTTAATTACAGGTGATTTTTTCTATTTGTTTGGCAGTCATTTAGGATTGGAAGTACAATTAGGCTATTGCCACTGCCATTCGAATGAATCAAGCCAATGAAGAATATCAATTAGCCATTCAATTATTCTTATAAATGAATGCAAAAAATTATTCATTTATGCTTTTTAAAGATATAAATGAGTAGTTTATTTCGTCATAGAATAGCAAATTGTACTTTTTTTCATGAAATGACTGATCAAGATTTTTTTTTTTTGAAGATTAATCATAAAAGAATCAAAAAGCGATTAAAAAAATATCCATTATTTTAATTGTGAGAACGATAGCTTATTACTTATGAAAAAAACTTATCACTTAGGAATAATAACGATAAAACTCCGTTAGTATTTTTATTTCTGTGAATAATATGAATTCTTTTATGAAAAAGCTTATCAGAATATACGAATCGAACCATTGGGCTTATCAGAATGCGATGAAGTGAACCGAAAGAAATAAAATTTAAATAAACCGTACTTGAAAGCATCGAAAAAAATGGATTTATATAATGATAATATAAATCTTTAATAAGCCTCTGCGAGCATGTTCTTTAGGAGTGGAAATACTTAGTTGTTGCTCTTATTTCATCATTGGGAATCTACTCCAAGCAGAATAAGCCTGTTTTTCAGACATCCGTATGCTAGTGCGTTATTTCTTTCGTCAAGTGACTCCGTTGCAAAATCCGTCCGATGGAAGTCAGCGGAACGAGTCTAACGAAGCGATGTTGCTTAAAGCAAAAAGCAAACCTTTCCTTTAATTGATCATAAAATCGGATAATCAGTGCAGTGCAACATTTTCTTTTCCCTTCTAACACTATTTGTTTGACTTTGATTGACTTCATTAGCTATTAAGGAAAAACGAAATCGCTTCAAGGATGCAAAGAATTACTAGGGAATGGAATCAGAAAAGTACGGAATGCCAGTAGAAGACACAGAAATACATAGGCAAGCATAGATAGCGGGTTTACTCTCATAAACAATTCTGCCCTTAGGCAAGGCAAGATATCACCAGATTTTTTGAAAATAACAGCCTCTCATAAATAGAAAATTGCTTAGAATTGGAATAATTGGTTATGATGCCCTCATATCTATTCCATACCACCATACACCAAAATCGTTCGTTTCGTTCGATCGTTCAAATTCTTTTTCCGAGAGCGCTTCATATCATTTTTTATTAGGCTCCAATGGCTTGCATGACCACACATTTTGCACGATTACTTGTCGATAAAGTTATAGTAAAATCGCCAGCACACCTCCAATTTTTGAAATAGGAATATACTCGACTGATTTGCTTAATTTGAAAGAAAATTTAGAAAAATTTTCATAAAACAAAAGCTCTCCTTATAAAATTATTAAATAAATTGCAAAAAAATAAAGTGACACATTATTAGTTGGAGATAGAATGGCTCAGTGGGTTGTTGCCCAATTGGTAGTGCCGATGACAAGGTTCAATTCCCAGCAGGAGCAAACCTGCGCAAAAATCCTGTCGATACTGGCGGCTCACCTCTATTTCTATTATCAAGGATGACAAGCCAGTGGAGCGAGTAATGGTGAGGACCCTCAAAAAGAAACTTATCAGTAGATTATGCTAACATATCTTGACAAAAACGATTTTATTCACCAAATTTGCTGAAATGATAAGAAATCCGTTGGATTTGTTGCGATCGTCTTTATCTGTGCTCGAATTCATTGAAGCGAGTTAATCCACAATCCTTCAAGTGTAGAACCTTTATAAAATATCATTTCGAAATTCTAATCCATTTTTGACAAAACTAAATCTTCCAAAAATAGTGAAGTAAACAGCGAAATGATGTTAACTCCAAAAGATTCATTTATTCAAAAATCCTTTCTTTCCTTATAAATTTCCAAGCCTTCATTTAAGCAACTATGGAAATGCTAATGAAAGTTGCTTAAAAAAACGGAAAATATTCCTAAAATAACAATAAAGCAGCCTAAAAAACCTAAATTCATGCAACATATTTGGCATATTTCTTGATAAATGATAAAAATCAGAGAAAAAAATTAACACAAAATAAGTAAACATTGTACCATTCGATTCGAAGGCAAACATGGATTTTAAGGCTTTAAATTAATGAAAAAATTATAAAAATAGAGAATATTCAATATGAATATAAAATATATCAAAATATAATAAAAATCACACAAAAAAAAGAATGAAAAACGACAAAATATTGAAAATGGAACAGTATGAGCTGAGAATAAGAACGATAGAACTGAAGAATCACCTGAGAACTGAAGGTGCAAACTCACCTCCCGATTCCATTTATGGATCATTCTTTCACAAGAGGAGGATACATTCATCGAAAATTTTCTGATTTGGTAACATAGTAACATTGAATTTTTTTCAAAAAAAATGTCGAATCTAAGCAATAAGATGTTTTTCAAAAAAATTCAAAGTGTTAATAAATCTAAGAATTATGATTGACTTTGAATTTTTATAGGACAAAAAATAAAATTATGCAAAAAATTAAATAATTAGAAAATATTTATATTTGATAATTTCATTGATAAAATCTTGAGCTGAAAATGATAATACTGAATAAAAACTGAATAATATTGAACAATGAACAATGAAATCAAAACTATAAGCTGTTAACATAAGAAATGCAATGATCAAAAGTTTGATTAGCCTGAATTAGATTATAAAAAAAAATAGATAATAAACTGATAAGATAACGATAACGACAATAATAAACCTAAACCTGAATTTAAAATGGAATGCACCAAAAATGTGATTTCTAAAGGATTTTGATTGGCTATAGCCGGTCGATTAATTCCATTGTAAAAACAACCGGTGCATTTGTTTTTATGGTAACCTTGTCCTCCATAATTCGATTCGAACTGCTAACCAAATGTCCAAATGCTAGTTGACGACTATCTATAATAAAATATTTCACAAAGGAATGATGTGGTGGGTTCTAAAATTTCACGCAAATTAACAAAAAAATTCAAAATCTCTTAAAAAATCAAAAGAAAAAATCTATAAAATAATAAATTCTTACCCATATCGTACTGAAGACCAGTTGATGTGACGATTGTTTCTCGCTGACATATTGGAATAACACCACACATTTTCGTCAAAAACTCTGGATGATCCGAAAAATCTAGTTCAGTTTCTCCCTGGAAATTTTAAATACAGATATTTCCAAATTTCCAACCTTTTCTTTATAATAACACAGTAGTGGAGAGATGGAGAGACTAATTCATGACGATTAAATTCAAAATAAATTCAATAAGGATGATTCGATGATTAGAGATAATTCAACTCAGAATACAGTTCATCTTTAAAATGAGGAACAAAGAATAATTTTTTTAAATTTTCTTTTGCATTCACTGTGAACTAAATTCAGTTGGAAATATCGATAATATACTTCGTTAATGATTGTTAGAAGATTGCATCCATCATAAACAAAAACATTATCGAGCTGATACTCCTTGTAGAATCTTATCAATATTGATACAGTTTGAAATGTATGATCCAAACGACCACATAAGCCGCCCAATATGACCACATATTCATGCTGTAAATGAGTCAAAAATTTTTAGTGTGTTAGTGAGACTGAAATAAATCATCCATATCTGGTCCAAATAATGTTCCAAAAAATATCTTCAGAAAAACATGCACCCTAATTTATAAGGATGAAACTAACCTCATATTATCCCATATAACCTCTATTCATAAGAAACGGAATACTTAAGGTCATTCCGATTGCAGGCCTATTAGCCTATTAGCCTAACATGCGTTGATAACGGTACTAAGAAACAACATGCATGCTAAACTAGTATTACACGAAAAAATTCCACTATTTCACATAGAGTAATCTGTTAATCTTTTTGAATGACCACATCAGTTGACAGTGGAAATATAGCATCAATTGTCTTAGATCTGGCTAAAGCTATGTGAAACTGTATGTAATCCTAAAATCTAATTTCTAAGAATTTATTTTTTCATTTACACGTTAATTAGTGGAATAAGCTGTCGACATAATTTGTTCCATTTTATCTTACCTATTTTTAAAAAAAATTAGATAATTTCATCCATGATTTTATTTAAAGGGAGGAAGTCTTTGAAATTTTAGCCTTTCAACATGCGAATATCTCAATAATACACTTAGTTCCGCTATTTCCATTTATTTGCATTACTTCCCTTTACATTGGTAACTTTTGGTCTTTCTTTTTGTATCACTAATTTCCTTTGTTTCATTTGGGACCTTATTTGTTAATATGTGAATGTAACCACACGGGCTGTTCTTGCAATACTTTGCTTGTTTTCAAATAAAAATAAATAAAAAAGATAGAAATAAACAAAAAAAATAAATATGTCAAATTTGCGAAACAAACTATTAAATATTATATTTTTAATTATATAACTAACTACTTGAACTACTTGAAATTCAAAGGAAATTAATCTAGAAAAAGTAGGAAAAATACTATTGCTAAAAATATAAAAAAATAATAAAAAAGGATTGAAATGATATGGACGACCTTTAATGCTATAATGAAAACATAAAATATAAAAAAATCAACAAACCTTATCAATATCTGCATCAATGAGAGCATTTTTTAAGCTTTTTAAGATGTCGGGACTATTTTGATCGGGCACATGAATAAGGCTAACACCTTGTTCGATGAAATATTCTTTGGTTCCTTTATTTATAGAATCAAAATCACCAACTATTTTTTTAGGCATTTTATAATCACCATGTCTAGAAAAAAATTTAAATATCAGAAAAATATGGCAGAGAATCCCTTGGCGATGGTACAGCCACCATCAACCATTCCGATTTACTCCTACCAGTAGATTCCCAGCATCAGCGTTTCCAATTGAACAACACAACCCACTTATCCATTCTATCCACCTTTGTTTTTCTCCGTTAGGAGAAATTAACGTCTGATGAAAAATGGTGCTTAAACGGATTTGAATTCGATTCTTACCACTGAGGCATCAATATATCAATAATGAGATGCACTTGCATTCCTTTCCACGATTTTCAGCTATTACACTAATTTTGATAAAATATAATTAAAATATATTTGAAATACATTTAAAAAAAAAAAAACTTCGTCATCTCCATTAGTTTATTTGCTGCACCATCAGCACAAACGTTTATTCGTGAATCATTCCAAATTTGCTTCCATACTTCAGACCAAATCGATGGACTATTGAGAATTACAACGACATGATCCTCTGCAAATATTCATATATTCGAATTGTTATTCAAATATTCATAACAAATTAAAATGAACGAATTCCTCAAAATGACAAATAAATGAGTGATAAGGTTCTGAATCTGATGATTCAATCCTATCAATTTTAATGATAAAATAAAAAACAAATAAAAATTTAAATCAACTCGGTTCTTTCTTTTTCCGTCACCTATTGCTTAGCACTTTCTGCTAACTTCGTGAGAATGGCACCGAGAATATTACCATTAATTTCTCCAACTTCATTTTTAATACTATATCTACTCCATTACTTCCGTCTTCCGTCAAGAGACCAAATTTAAGCATTTTGTCGGATCTCAGTCGAAGCAATAAATCATTTATCATTTATCAAATGCCTCATTAGATTATTGAATTGTCATAAAAACACATTGAAAAAACTAACTCATATCGAATATTTTTAACGGATTTAGCGTTACTTTCGACATCCTTGCAATCTATAAAATTTAAAATTCGCTCAATTTCAAAAAATCCACAAAAAAACGCTAAAATCAATTGATTGCTCCAAATGACTCCTCCAACTACCTTTATTATACATACAAAAATTATTATAAATTTTCATGAAAAAATTTAAAACTCTAAAATTTATTAAAACCTTCCACTTAATACCAATCTAATGCAAATAAAATTTAAAATTTAGAAAAAAAATCTAAGAAAAAAATTTCTTCAAAACTTTTCTTATATATTTAAAAAATAAAAAAACAAAATATTTCAAATTAATAAATAAATTTCGATATTGTAATGAATTCTCAAAAAATCAATTTAATTGATAGCCAATAATATTAATACAAATGCAACACGACACGAAGAAGAGACAACAGATTGACGATAAACTTCCAAATTTTCCAATTTTATAGCAATTGCCAAACACCGTTCCACCGTTCATAACCTTTTAGAGCGATATTAATAGCAAAATGATTTGGAAAAATGGCGATCGACGTTCCAAAAGAAATGTTTTCTTCAAATTATCGAAAAATTTCCCTTTTGGAAGGGAAAATATAAATTAAGAAAATTTTCAAAGAAATATCTCGAAATTCTACAAACTACACATTCTTTTTAAGAAAAATAAGATAAATTATAAAACACAATAATAATATCAATTTTTTTACAAAATTTTCCTAAAAAATCTAAAAATTAAAAAAAAATCTGAATGGAATAGACCAGATGGAAATTAGGCAATCTACTACTTTATAACAATAATTTAGTTGATCCTCTAATATCTAATAAATTGCGAAATAAAAAAAGAAATATACAAATGATTTTTTCCAATTGGTTCAATCGAAAAGCATATCAAAAATAAGCGACGGGTACAGACGAAGTAAAAAGAAAGATGAATATGAACGAAAACAACTGACGCATATAAATAATCACCAAATCACCATGTAAAGTTCATGCAACAATTTCTTCAGTAGCAATAGCTTCTTCCAATATTTTTTCGAATGAAAATGGAACGAATGCTCGACCCAAACCTTTATAAAATTTACTCTGGAATTCAACCCTGAAAAGAATCGAAATTCAACATGAAAAATCAACACCAATCAACATGAAAAAATTCTGACTGAATAATTTATCTATTTAATCAAAAGTTATAAATCGCAATTATATAATTGCAAAAAAATTTGCATATTGCAAAAATATTTAAATTTCGTAACGATGAATACCAATGAAGTCGCAAAGCATGCAGAAAAGCGCTGAGACCTTCCATTAGAACCAATATGAAGAAAGAAAGCGATGCAAATACAAAAAAGAGTAAATATGTAGCGATTATACCAATATAACCATCTAGTGCAAATGAATGGCGGAAGACCATTGACCATAATACATCCGATAATTCTAAACAAAAAACCTTGACTTTATTAAACAGTAATATATCGAACAACCTGTAAAGTAAAAGTTCTCTTGTCTAAATGATGAATATGAATATTGCCTCTCACTTGATACCATTAGTACCTACTATTCACTGTCAAACAATCATTCATTCATTCATTTTTTTAAAGGCTTTTGTTCTAACGTTTTTAAGAAAATAATTAAAAATCATATTGAAACATACAAATTAGTTTTAAGTAAAAGAATTTTTGGAAGAATATTCTAATATGAACCGATTTATATTTCAATACAACATTTATATATTTCTTGACGATATATAAAAACTCAAATATATATATATATATATATAACTCTGTGACAATGGACAGTGGAAATATCAAATAATAAATAAAGTGAAAATCTTACGAGCATGAGCTAATGACAATGCCCAAAGACGTAAATAAGAAGCTGTGTGAGAGATACATCCAAGAACAAATTCGATTGTATGTATTGCTTGATACACCATTATATCGCCAAAATCAAACTGAAAAAAAATTTGATAAGAAAAGTTCGACAAATTTCAACTATGAGTTTTAGCTTTTAATTCAGATTTAACTGAATCTATTCGCCAAAATGAATTCTATCGTTTGTTTTGATACAATATTATGTCAATATTCCCATAAAATTCTTAAAGTGATTAAAAAAAAGAATTACCGGTTCTTCCTTACGATCGGTAGATCGTCGAAAGCTATCATTTTCAATAACTTGCGTCTCTTCACCATTGACAACTCGAACACTCTGAAATAATAATTCCTTAAATAATTCAGTTAAACATTGAATAATTTAAATAGTAATGGGAAATTCAGCACAAACAACATATATCTAACATTATTCTAATTCCATATTATTGGTACAATCTAATCATTAAACTTTTTTGCAATAATTAGCTTCATTATATTAAATCATTTATATTAACCATCATTTATATTAAATCGTAATCAGCAAATCTTCATAATAGAAATGATTTGGAAAACTGATAAATTTGATAACAATGATATTTGATAAATCTTTGTTAAAAAAATTGATTAAACTAAACTGAAGAAAAATTAACTAATTCGTTAACTAATTAAATTAAGCAAGCACTGGTAAAAATGTGAGATTTTAAATAAAATCTAAATAAAAACTTGTTAAAAATGTTAACTGAAAAAAATATATCAGATACCCTTTTTTTTAATTCAAAAGATTTTATTTAAGTCTTTCAACCGAATTTCGACTAAAGTAATTTTCAAAATTTATTATTTCGGATATTATGCAAGAATTTTTAACAATGAACCAAATTTAGAAAATAAAAAGAAACTTAAAAAAAAAGCTAACCAAACCAAGCATAAAATATTACAGGTGTTACCGAAATATAAATTGGTTTTTGACGAAATGAATGCCAAAAACCATTCAAAAGTCTCTTACTAGATTGAGAAATTGAAATTCAAAATAATTCAAAAACTTTCGTTCTGTCAATTTCCATCAAAAGAAAATGTTTAAAATTTGACCGTTTTACTAATTAGGAACTCGGTGGATGCCGTCGAATTCTTTTTGTACTGCTGAAAGAGTGATAACGGCTTCGCAAAAAGCATTAACGGCACCTGTAGCACCGCCACAAATAAAAGTATCATCTCGACAACACCCTGTAATACATTCTAACACAACCACAACCACAATAACAACATAAATATTAAATTCAAGATCGTGCGACCCCTATGCGAAGCTTGCTTGCTATGCACTGGGCATGGTTAGCGCATGACTATAAACACAAGCATGCCCTTTTTTTCACCAACCAAATTTGACATTCCCATTTGTAATTTCTGTTTATGCTCCTTCCATAGCATATAAGGTTTGCCGAATAACATAACTGGCACGCAAGCAACAGCAATCAGTACAAAAACTGTTTCGAAGAACGACTAAAATTTTGAAAGTTGATTCGCTCATTTTAAAAATTTGCTATATTGACAAACTATATTTCTATAGATCCAGAGCATTCTCCACATTCCCTCCTTTTAAATAAAATCGTTGGATAGAATTTAAATAAATAAATAAATTTAAAAGATAAAGATAAAAAATGAAAATTTAACAAATTAACCTAAGACAATATGAACCTTAAAAAATCAAAGACGCCGTACCTGTCCTGGATACCAAAAATTCAAATAGCATTGAGGATAAACCTCACCAGAATCATTCACGAATCCGGTTGGTCGACTTTTCATCATGAACATATTTATTAGCCCAATAAGTAAAGATGGAGCGCAATTTGAAGATGGATAGAAACGACCGAGCACATAACCACTCTAAAATATTTCTCAAAGGATTTATTCAACAGATTGAGTGAACCAAAATTTTCTTGACAAAAAAAGAAAAATTATGAATAAAATTATAGCGAAATAATTTAATTTACATTGGCCCTACTAAAATGAAAAGGATTCATACTTCTGCAGAGAATAACAACCATTTGAAAATAATTTCCAAGCATAAATAGATAAAGATACATCCAAGGAAAAGCATCTGCGGGATATACGTAAAATAGATATCGAGATGAGAATCAAAATATCTGAAACGAATTGTTTGGTCGGACGAAATAGAAGAGCGATATTAGTGCACTGAGATCTATTTCGTAATGAATCAAAGAAAGAGTAAAGAAAATGAGGAAAAGTGGATTCTAAAAATGATAAATTTGTATACGATTTTCTCTCCTTCAAACATCATTTCTGGCAGGAGTTGGTCTTGAAAAATGAGTGCAAATGAATTCCAGATCACCCCCAACTCCATTTTCACAAAATAGAGTTAGAACTAACTATATATCATAGTTCTACACCATAGATAAAAGGAAGCAAACGTAACTTCTTGGTTCAAATTGAATAAATGGCCAATATTTTTAAGCTTTCAATTCCTTTCAAGCAAAAGCCCTTTCAATTTCCTATTTCCCCAATAGATATAATAAAAATAAAAATAAAAAGATATCAAAACAATATTACTTATAGTTTTGGTAGCTAAGCAAAACGCCGAAAGTCATTTGTGCGACACCAATAACAACGGAAGTTTTCATCTTCATTGAATTAAGAAAATTCAACTTATTTGCTTCAGCTAAATTCCATATCGGATCAACACCCAATATGTACGGACCAGCAGACTATAAATAAGTTTTGTTTTTTAGCTGTTTGTAACTACTGAGAAAAATATTCAATCTTTGGTAAATAGTAAATACAATTTAAAAAACCAATAATTTAAATTTTTTAAAACTAACCACATTATAATAAGCCCATTCAGGTGTAAACATAAGAACATCCTCACTTTGACGCATATCTAAGACGCTAGGTGAATAAGGATTTCGCCATGAACTACCAAAAATATTTATAGACTTGCTGAAGATGTCATTGTAAATAATTCCTGTATAAATCGAAAAACAACCCATAAGAAAAATCACGTAACGCCCCTTGAAAAAAGTTTGGAATATCTGAAATCAATTTAAAATTAATTTAAAATTAATTTAACTAATTTAAATATATGTATAAGATGGGTTAATACTGAATCAAATAGAAAGATATATAAAACGAACTTCATCTCTGATACGTGCCGCTTCCAACTGCCGTTCTTTAAGGATAAAAAATAGAGCAGCGAAAAACATTACTAATCCATGACCGCAGTCACCGAACATTATGGCGAAAAGGAAAGGAAACGTTATAATTGTGAATGGAGCTGAAAACAACAAATTCAAAACCCAATGCGGCCAAAATCAAGCCATTCATTTTAAATCATAACTTATTAACCTGGATTGATTTCGCGATAAGAAGCAATTCCATATGCATCAACGATATTTTGAAAACCTCGAGTATATTTACTAATACGATGAAAGGTAGGTGGAGCTTCTGTCGAATCTGACATCCTATTCAGTATTGATGGAACTGTACTCCCTGATTCTTCCTGAAATATAGAAAACATAGGAAGTACTAATTACCAATAAGTTTTCTATCCTAATCAGTTAGAAACCAACCGTTCCTCTCTTAAGAGCGAATTGTATACGATCCAAATCTGCGACAGGACACCAACATTCAGCAATTAAACATTTCTGAGTAACATCCAAATTGAAAAGATTTAACGTGAAATATATCGATTTTATTTTCCGTACTTTCGTTAACCACATTCGGACATTTTTGGATGCCGCTACCTAAATTATTTGTAAAACAACAATGTCAAAATCCATTGAACTCAATTTTCACAATCAAACCACTATTTTAAAGCGGAAAAGGTAAAAAAGAATTGAAGAGCATTAAACTGATTTATCTCTTAAATCTGCAACTATAAAAAAAGAATTCATTTCCGGTAAATACCTACCAACACACGATGACGATGATCTTGCGTTTGTCCTAAAACTGTTTTTAAATCTTCAATTCGTGTCATCACACCAATTGACATTTCCCTTCTCTCTTGAGGTGTATCAGGACATGGATACAATGTTGCACGAAACCTAAACAAAGTTACATTTTTCGGCTATTCTAGCTGCATTAAATTTTTATTTGTTGTATTTCAATGAATTATACAACAATAACAAAAATTTCTAAAAAAAATTAACCCTTCACAAATTTTTTTCACACGTGTTTTAAGTTGATCACCTTGGAAAAATATAATAAAAACCGATTTATTTACAGGAGTACCCTGAAAATCATAAATTGCACAAAAATTATAAATTTTACCCAAAATGATAACGAAACTAATCGTATTTGTCAAAATCAATCAATTTCAAGAAGAGCATTAAACTTACTGTTAATGCATCATTCAACGGTTCAGTAATTTCAGACTGTCGAAGGAAAACATTACCACGACATGCACGCCATAAGAGTCGCTCAAATGCAGGAATACGTTCACGCTGTATTACGCCAGCAACAAATCTGACATAAACAACCTTTAGAAACTCCAAAAAGCGCGAAAAATTATAAATTTAATGACAATTTAGAAATATTATGCCTATTCCACTGGAATTTCTGCAAAGAATTGGAACATTTCTTTGCAATACAACAATCATTGTTCATTAAAAAATGAAGAAATTTCTAATATAAAATAACTAATACCAACAATATCCAATTTTATAACAGAGAACTATACAATTTCATATAATTACGAATCAAAATGAAGAAAAAACAGAGACTGATGAATGAAAAACCGGCTCATAAACAATAAACCTAGAAATGGCAACAAAATCGAAGTCGAAGATCCTCATTAATCATAATAAAAATGAAAAAAAAGAAGAGAAATAATGCGACTACTTGATTTGTCCCTTATCATCATCCATGAATCGTTCATATCGCTGTAGATTGAGTCGCGTAGGACCAGTTCGATCTTCACTTTCATTTTCATCCTCTTCTTTATCCAATAAATGTCCCATTTCTTCACCAACATGCTAATCATTATCATTTTATCATCATCATTCAGAAGAATTTCACAATGCTTATATAATTAATTTATGCATTAATACATCAAAACTTTTTCATATACATTACCTCCATCTCAATAAATTTTTCCAGCATATAAATCGTTAGATAAAGCAATTGCATTTGCATAAGGCATTTGATTTCAGAAAGAAAAGAAAAAAAATAGATGACTGATATAATTTATAATTTATAAAAAATGAGATTATAAAAAGTCAGAGTCAAAAAATTATCATTTATAACAAATTTCAAAGAAAGCCTATTAGCAAAATAAACATGAGATTGTTAGCAATAATATTAATCGTTTTATAGTTTTTGCATGCAAATCTAAACCTACAAATCCATGGAATGAATAAAAAAACTGTACGACCGCACGATAATCAGAGAAATTTATTGGATCAATTCGAGAGCTTTTCTTACAAATTTAAACTTTTCTTACCTTACACAAGCAAAATCTACAGTGATTTCTCACCTAAAAATAAAGATTGCAGTTTTACGAATAAAATCTCTTTTATTCATTCCATGTTTAATAGATTAACAGTAAAATTATGGCATTTGAATAATCTGAACAATCATTTAAGCAATTTATTGCAGTCTAATAAGAGCAACAAAGCTCCATATAATATTTCGATAATGATAAAAATTATAAAATCCATGAATCGGGTCCAGGAATAGAATTTTTTCGAAACCTATTGTTTTCCATGTTTGCTCAACGAATAAGGAAGTGAAGTAAAAAAGAAAGCGATAAAATGAAAAGTTAGCAATCATTCTTATCAGTTTCTTAGTTCCAAATTAAAAAGCACAAGTGATATTAATGATTAGTCCGTGCGAATCAACAGAATTTTTGAAAATAGTAAAAAATTAATAAATTATAAAAATACAACCGAAAATAACTACTAATAACTCTAAGATGAAAGAGATGTTCAATACCTACCCGAAATTAGCAAACATAGAGCCTGTCATTGAGAAACCTCCCGCATCCATTCCGCTAGCGTCAGCTTCTTGAAGAACAATTTGTTCCGGTAAGCCGCCAGCTTGTGGTGCAGTTCCACTAGGCGGTACGATTGATTCTGGTCCACCCTATCATTATTAAACTAAGAAAACAATTAACAAATAAAACGTTTTCAATTGTTTCGGCAGATATATGCTGAATAAATGAATAAATCAACCAAAATAATTTCAAAATTGCTTTTTAGTTTCAATTGAAAATTTTCCTTTCATTACAAGACTTTTAAAATTAGCATAATAAAAAACATATACAAAGTTTCTATTGTAATTACATATTGATAAAGTTCGTGCGTCTATAGATAAACATAAATAAAAAGAATCACAATTAATATGAAATTTTCAAGAATATTGAACTATACTGATAAGGTAATAACGCAATTGCATTGATAAGCCAACAATAGCCATTGCAAAGAGAGATTTTTAAATGCATGCATTAAGTACTGAAAAATCATGCAACGTAAAAGAATAAAAAAAAATTTACGACAAAGTACGATCATGAAAACCTATTGCAATTAAAGTTTCAAATATAATAAAAATTTTCCTCTTTAATCTCTAATATCAATAACAGTAAATATTGTTAAAATATTTAATGTAATAATTATGGCATTAATCATCTCATCTATAACTCCCAATTACTTCCAAAATGATCGAACCATTCGCAAATCTCGATTATTTATGTGGAAATAACCAATATAATATCGGATACAATCAAAACAATATAAACCACAAAAAATATGAAATAGCAATAAAACAAAACAACATAATTAATTCCTCGCAAAGTCATTAACGAATCGTAAATCGTAAGTAAGTTAAATGAATATTCAAAATTGACGCGAAAATAATTAAAGAGATTCCCCGCCACTCACCACTGAATGAACCCGTATTTTTCTATTTTTTCATCATTTTTATGCTGAGCCAAAGGGTTTCGAAAAAGTAAGAGAAATAATGAGTCTATTCATAATTATCCTAATGGCTGTGAACAACATTCAGCGTTGAATTTGAATTTTCGTTTGGCTTTGATTCTTAATCCTCATTGCTTCGTAGTATTAAATAGATTGTAATTTGATGAATCTATTTGAAGAATCTATTCACCGAGATTTTCAAAACTATTATTAACCTGCTAATCTAATTTCGAACTGCGTGCACTATTCCTAGTTCGACCACTAAATATAATGTGAAGTGTTCATGCGAGATATTCAATTGACGATGAAGAAGTAGCCGCGACTCGATCAAATTTAGAATTTTAAATAGAATTTTCGAATTTAGCTTTTAATGACAATTTTATTTCTACTTAAAAAATTCGAAACCATATCGCTTGTTCTCAAACGAACCTTGTTCATAGAACTCGACCCTCAGGCCACATATATAAAGAAACTAATTTATCGAAAATAATCGAAACACAGCAAGCGAAATGATATATTACAAGTGTCGCTATCGACTTACCCTATTCGTAAGATATTTCTTGACCAAGAAATTGAGCTCGTTTCACTTAACAGACTTTGTTCTTCCTCTCTCAATATATCGCTTTGTTCAGATGTTGATCGTTGCCACCTATCGTGTCGTATCTATTACATATATATCAAGAACCACAATACGAATTGTACAATAATTATACAACGAAAAAATCAAACAAACTAAAATAATTTCAAAAAAAATAAGCGAAGGAAAAAAAAATGATATAATTCAATTAGAAAATTCAGTCTATGTATTTTATTATATATAAATAAATAAATATCGCAGAAATGTTTTATAATTGCCAATAATTGTCAATTGCCAATTCTCAAATTAAATAAAAACATTAAATTTGTTGATCCTATTTTAAAATTATAGTTTATTTGATTCATTATGAAAGATTTTCTTATGTTACGATGCTATTATGCTAATATAAAAATCAAACAAATTCCATCCACAAAGTTGCATGATCTTCTATCACCTTTATAAAGAAGATGGCTACTAATATTTCACGATTTTTAATAAAAATACTCTTCTGTTTAAATCAAACCTTTTTGAAAAACTGACTATTCATGATGCTTATCTATTTAAAAAGTCGCAGAAAAAATGTAAAAAAAATATAGCAACTGAAGAAAAGTGGCCAAATAATTGGACCTTTCCATATAAATCACCTTAAGAGATAATAATGAATGATAAAAATAAAAGATAAATGTTGAAACAAGGTGAATTATTAGGAAAGATAGGAAAAAGAAAAGCCCAAACATCATGCAGTGAATTAGTTAGTTAAGCGAACGACTGATCGATGCAACAAAATTTCCATACATAAATAATTTTTGGAAATTAAATAAATATTGAATTTCAAAATATATACCTCTTCGAAAAACTGCTGAGTTTTTCTTAAAATATGTTTAAGTTCGGTAAGTTCAGAGAAGTTTTTTTTCAACATTTCTTCATTTTGATTCACCTCACGAAGCTCATTCTCCAGTTTTTCGAAGGTCGCCTAAATAAAAATTTTCATGATCGTCAGCTTTGATTACTAAACAATTTGGATAATCTATTATAAACTATCGTAATAAATGTGGACCTCTAAATCAATCATTTCCCGTGGCTGAGGTGCATCAGGATTTTCACCAGTGTCCAACAAAGGAATGGCATCTTTCTTGATCTCTCGTTCCAAAAATCCTGTAAAAAAAACATAAGCTCTATTACCAATCCTCTGGTCACAAAAAAATCATAAAAAATTTAAATAAATTTTCATAATTTTGATAAATTTCTCAGAAAATGATAGAAGTATATTTAACAAAATTTTGCTCACTTAATTTGCGTTCCATTTCATCGCATCTACGAACTTCGTTAACAAATTTACGTTGGAAAGCACTCACTTCCGGATTCAACTAAAAATTTAATTTAATTCGTGAAAGTAATGGTTCAAATAAATGCGAATCATTATGCTTTACAAATCTTAAGAAAAATAATGAAGCATTCTTAATTTTTGCTATAAAGGCTAAAGGCTAAATTACAATTATAACAATTATAACAATAGAGTCAAAAAGTAGCAGAATATGACCAGTAAATAGGAAATTAATTGAAGAGGAAAAAAGTTTAAAAAAATTTTTTTCACCAACGATTTTGGAGCTCAATTCCCCCAATTTCACTTCTATTATAAGATCTACTCTCATCAAAAGGACAGAAACTGGGATCGAAGCTGATTTCCTCTCCAGACAAAGAATTATTTTCAAAAATTTTTTTTTCCGACTCAAATTTACAACTAACTTTTTCCCAACTAATTTCACGAATAAAAAATTTCGACAGTCACCATTAAGAACAGTTGTTGAATGATTTATTACTGATAAAAAAATATACTAACATCTCTGAACTGTACCAAACCTAATTCCCCAAGTTCAGCGACACAAGCATAAGCAGCTTCAGTCTGAAGGAACAATTGCGCTAAGCACATTTCTTCACTTCGATACATCGACCCCATCTTGAACTTTTTCTTCCAGTAATTATCCGATTCTCTTTGCTCTGAAATTCAAAAATAATAAAATCAATACAAAAATTAAACTTACCTATTGCGCCCAAAACTCATTTGAACCACATATTTTGTAATCGCAAAATAGAAAGACTTCTCAGCAAATGACCTCTATTAAGAAATAACTGTTCTCTCAAAAGTTGACCTCTACAAAGAAATAATATCTGCCCTCTCAGCAAATAACCTCGATGAAGAAATATCTGCTCTCTTAGCAACTAATCCCTACAGCAGAACAATACAATAAAGAGTAAACAAAGCATAGCAGAAATACTAAGTGATGCCGGAATATATAAAACAAAAATGATCGTACATCATAAGAACAATTTTTACCAACAGCTCTCACCACTTCTGGTTAATTGAGCTCCATTGGCTTGTCGAAGCTCTACCAGCAAGTAGCTGGCAATAGAAGTAACAAGGTGAACTGCCTGGATCAAATCGATTTTAGAAAAACAGGAACCTCTCTCCTCGACAACAGAATTCCAGTATCATAAAAACAATACTGCCAAAGCAATTAAATTAATGAGTCAATGTTTTTCGCTTTATATTAATAAAAATTTCCAACAGCAACAACTCTTTATCGATGAAAAAATAAAAATACTTGAAAATAAAATAAAATGAGAATAAAATATTTATAAACTAACAAATACTTTTAAAATATCAAAAAATAATTGGAAATTTAGTACAAATTTAATTTAGTACAAATTTAGTACAAATTTATAATTCAAATTTAATTTCAAATTTAGTACAAATTTATTTAATAAATTTAATTTAAATTTAAATTTAATTTAATTTAATTTAAATTTACAAATTTATTTAATTTAATTTAGTACAAATTTAATTTAATTTAATTTAATAATTTAATTTAATTCAAATTTAAATTTAAATTTAATTTAGTACAAATTTAATAAATTTAGTACAAATTTAAATTTAGTACAAATTTAACAAATTTAAATTTATTTAATTTCAAATTTAGTACAAATAATAATTTTGAAAATAAATAAATAAAAAAAAATTACTGATGAAAATAAAATTAATAAAATAATAATATAAATAAAATAAAAAATAAATGAAATAATAATTAGCAAAAATAAAAATGAAAATAATTAGATAAATAAAGCAACCAAAATAAAATAAACAATTGAAATATGACAATGAAATAAATAAAATAAATGCTTAAATGATTAAAATAAAATAAATAAAATACAAACAAAATGAATAAAAAAAATTTTATCAAATTAAATTTTATTAAAATCATCGAATAATTGAAATAAAATAATTAAAATAAATAAAATACGAAAATAAATGAAATGTTTTAAAAGAATGAAATAACAATTTTAAAAAATTTTAAAAATAAATAAATAAAAAGAAAATTACTAATGAAAATAAAATAATTATAAAAATTATAAAAATAATTTAAAAATAATTTAACAAAACAACTAAAAATAATTAAATAACTGAAAAAAATAAAATTAAAATTATTAAATATAAAATTTAAATTTAAAAATTTAAAAAAACAAAATTATAGAATAAAATTACTAAAATAATTATTAAATATAAAATTGTAGAAATAAATGAAATAAACAAATAAATAGAATTATTTTAAAAAATAAAAAATATTTAATAAATATTAAATAAATATTAAAAATGAAAAATATTTTTACAGAAAAATGAAAAATAGCAAAAACCGAGAATCGCTTGAAAACTACGTAAAATATGGAAATTGGCGAGAAAATGCTGAATGCTAAAACGACGTCGATAAAATGCATTCAAAAGCCAACGCAGACAAATATCAACGTTTCAATATTCCATTCAATCAATTTTGCACAAATAAAATAACCGCATCTGAATCTTAGTAATCAGCTTCGATTGTTCTTCTGCGCAGCCGCAGCTGACATATGTAATTATCATCCTCTTTTTTTTCCCGTCGTCACTTTATCGCTTCATAGCACCTTATCAGTAATGAAATTCTTACCGCCCTTTCTCCCTCTCCTCATTGTCACCTCTTCGTGGATTAAAAATCCGATAACATTTTTGGATTTGAATTTGGGCACATTCCGAAAATAGAAAACTAAGTTATGATCCATGCGGATATGGAAATATCGTCTATCTGGATCACTCAGTACGTAGCACTCGAGCCTGAGGCGAATCTGCCAAATAGTTTCAACTGTGACCTGAGTTGAATCCGAGGTCAGTTGGCTTTAACTGAGAACGAAACGCCTCGATAGTTTGAAAACCACGTGGTTCGCAAAATATTAAGTTATTGGTGGATGAAATTTCGTTTTCTTTCAGTTTCGCTTATCTTCTTCTTCTTCTAACAGCTCTCACCATTACTGGTTAGGCTGGCTCCAACGGCTACAAGGGTAAGACGCTTCCAAGCGGCGCGGTCTGATGCCATCGTCGACAGTAATGGAAGCCATTCCTTTTTCCATTGTCTAAGTCCATATATTGCTTGTCCACCTATACGTTCAAAATCTTTTTTCACCGTATCAGTCCAGGTTGATTGGCCCACCTCGCTTTTGATGCCAACCGTTACACGGTTTAGCAAATAACGAAATATGCGTCAATCGGGTGGTGGACGACGGAGAATGTGCCCTAACCAGCGAAGGTGGCGTTCAGTGATAACATTATTTATGCAAGTGGTATTTGAACGAAGGTGGATGCGATATAGTGAGATTTTATCCATTCGGCGAACCCGTAATATGTACCTTAGACAAGAGT